TTGTTGGAGTCTTCTTTCACAGAGTTTATTCAGTGCAGTGTGCTGATTGTACATTAAGTGATCAACAGGCGTGCATTTGTTTATGCAGACTCTTGTTTTGCCTGTGGATGTGTTGCTGTGTTACGTATATATGTTCACTTAGGGAGTGAGTGCATGTTCGTGTGTGTGCATGTTCATTTGCTGTGTGTGTGGGTGTGCGGCTTGGAGTAGTGGCAGTGTTTATTGAATGGCACTGATGTATGGAGGCTCGCTCAGCGCAGCCTTTAACTGAATGGAGCAGATGGCAGTGGCTGCGTCTGTCCTTCCGCACAGCCTATTGTGCACATAAGTGTGCATTTGCGTGCATGTGTGGAGCAAAATGCATGGAAGTTAGTGTGTAAGCTCACTGGGACTACTGCTCGACATATAAACAGAAAGGACTGAATGTTAGATTGCATCCCGTATCACCATTTGACTCTGCTGCTGCCTGCCTTGGATCACATGTGGGGTCTTTAATTTATCTCAGTTTACTCCAGCTTTGACATTTAAAATCACAGCGCTGTGACACAGCTAGATAATCTCCTTGAAAAGTGCTAGTATACACTTTTTGTATCTCTTTATCTCCTAACGAGAACACTTTAGTACTAAATGCATTTTGTTTTTTTATAAGTTAATCTGGGGAAATATCGCCAGAGAAAGGAGGAAGCAGAAAAAACCCACAGGTTTTTGGTGGCCATGTTACCATGCTACTGGGACATGCAGCGAGGCATACATCAACAGTCACACCCACCCACCCCAGACTTGACAGTAAAGCACTGAGCTAAATGCACATGCAGATCGTTTGTTGAATCGCTTGCCTACCGTCATTGGTTCACCCTCCACCTCAAGCCCCACCCCTTCTCCACTGTCCGACCAACCACTGGCCACAGTCCCAGCAGTCACCATGGTGTTTGCCTCCCTCCTCTGTGAGCACCTGAGTCTGCTGGGCTCGCAGCCGGTTGACATTATGTCAGCGATTGCTGTTCATTCTAAATTTGTGAGGCTTGTGTTGACATTTGCTCATTCTGTTGGAACTGTGAATGAGTTTGCACTCTTAGTTTCTCATAAGCTGTGAGTAAACATACATGGGAGGGCACAGGAGCCCAGTGGGGCGAGGAACTCCTCTGGGAGTCCTCGTCTATAAATAACTCTGTGTGATCCATAATCTTAGCCTGATTGGGGGGGTGATGATGAGCGGAAGGAGGGAGGGGTACATCGAGGGACACAGTGATGAATGAGGAGATAAGAGAGAGAGAAGAGGAGGCAGAGCCTGGCATTTCAAGAGTTTTGTTTATGTTGGGTTTCGTTGCTTTCAGTCAGGCCGTAGTCATGAACTCTCTCGATCCTGAACAATTTCTACAAAGTAAACACAATTTCCTGTCCAGAGTTTATCTTACGTTTGCCTTTTATAGTTTTAAAGAGACGTCCTGGGGCTTAAGGACATTTAGAGCCAACTTCATTTGTGAATTATTCGAAAAAAGACTTTTTTTTTTTTATTATAATTTGCAGTGTTTTGTGCAACAAGGTTGCAAGAACCGCAGCAGTAGTCTCCACAAGTGCGCATATACTCGAGATAGAAATCAGTGCGTAATAATAGCGCTAGTATTTTTATTCGTTTATTTCAGGAAGCATCTGTTAGCATTCATTCTGAATTGCTCATCCAAATCTGCAGCGAGAATCTTTGCATTATCACGTCCGTTGTTGTCGGGGTGAGTCAGCTGTTATGAAAGCACCTCTCCTCCCCGTAAGCCAATGCCATATTCACAGAGTGCGATCAGTGTAAGCTGGGCTAATTACTTCACAGGTGGCTTCTCCCAGGGCTGTATGTCGCCCTGTTTGTCTGCTGCCATTGACAAGGCTTTGTTTACTATAAACATGCCTCTGAGGTTTGTTATTAGGAGAGCTGCTGGTGTTTTTGTCACGGTGCAACTGTAACAGTACTGCGATCCTTGAGAGCCGTGTCAGCTTGACTGTGAACTGTTAGTGACGCAAATATGTTTCCTTGGAGCTCCAAACTTTCGACAGCCCTCTTTTTAATGATCCAAAGCATAATTGTGTCTGGATAATTAAAGAAAATAGTTTCAGCCCCTAAAGATACACAATCCCGACAACATTACAGTCTTAAGTGCATCTTCTCTCATGTGAGATGCATTTATCCAAGAGGATGAAACCATAGGAGCAAAAACATTCTCTCTGGGCACTGGAACGACTTCTCCGAGTCTGTGCAGTTTGGGTATAGACTGTGTTGGTACATGATCCTTATTTATCTTCCTGTGTCTCTTTGTGTAGCTAACAACACAATCTGTAGCCAGCAATAGCTCTCAGTGCAGTCTTAATGTGGCAGCCCAGTGTGGTTAGCCTCGGAGTAGCTGGTCGAAGCGATGATTATTACACCGCCTCCCTATTTCTCTCCATCTCTGTCTCTTCCTGGCCGTCGGCACTAGTAGCCCCTCAGTTTGAGGATAAGTAGCTGTAATTAGTTTATTTTGCTGCCTGGCTTTAGCCTTGCACTTGGCCATTGATCACAGCTCCGTAAGTGGCCGGCCGTGTTAACATAATAAAACATACAAAGGCATTTGGCTTTTAAAATTGCTTCCCATGTAGACGCACAGAGGTAACCCAGTGCTTCTAAAACACTGTTTGCACAACACAAACCGCACAAAGGGATATGCATCACAGGGACAAGGGTATATTCAGGACCGGCTGCTCCGAGGTGGGGAGAGGGGGACTGCTGTGGCACAAGTTTAGCACCGTTTTTGGGTAAAAATTATTTTGGCTCTTTGGCGCATGTTTTTGGCTGAGAAACTCGCTCTGCTGTGTTTGTCTGTGAATCGTGGCATTAAGTGTCAGCTTGTTGGCAAAACGTGTGTGTCTGATAAGTTTCATGTGTTAGTTTACTAATCTGTGCTGCGAAAACACGAGTTGCTTCATATTTCATTTCAGGTCATGCGAGACAGCTGCGTTTGTTGTTTTATTGTTTAGTAATAAACATCTAAGGATTCCATAGGGTTGCATGAAAGTTTGGATAGCTGAATTTGTACTTTGCTGTGAGGGGATCGTGTGTGTGTGTGTGTGTGTTTGAGAGCGTGTGCCAGAGGCCTGTTTACAGGACATTTGTGCCACTCACCTAAGTTCATGTGGAAACATTTACAGTTGAGGTGGCATTAATTGAGGTCCGGCTCCATTCATGTTTGTCACCACTGATTGTCAAACAAAACGTTTTGTTTTGTTTGACCTTGATGTTTATTGCTTATTAAATATGTGTGTAAACAGCTGACATGTTTGTGTAAATGTTTGCGTGAGAGGCGAGAAGGGGGCTGAATTTGAACATGGTTCAGTGCGGCTGGCTTTGTTTGGATAACATGGTTGATTGGGACCAACTCTTTACTCAACATGGCAGTCACTGTGGTCCTCTAATGAGGCTCCTGCATGTAGGCACAGATGACTCACCCGTCACAGTAAATGCTGCTAAATTCACCTGGCGTTATGTTTTTTTTAAGAGCAGCAAGAGTGGCGCAGCTGGATGGTAAACTCTTAAGTCTTTAAATAAACCTCCACCCCTGCCTAATTAATTCTAAGCCTAGTCCTTTTCATCTTTTCCAACTGAAGGATTTAACAGAACTTCTAATGTCCAGCCTATAAACAAGTCCCTGCAAGAGCAGCGATACAACCAAACACACACACGTGTGCACCAGCGAAGCACCAGCAAGTCTGGCCTAGCCACACCCTTCTTCTCTCCCATGCTGTCCCATTGGGTGGTGTCAAGTTTCTCCCCGCACTGAAAACCTGCCCAGTACCAAAGATGTCATTGGACCTTTCCTGCAAGTAACTGCAACTTCATCGCCACCTCATTGGCCACCAGGGATAGGCTGGGGAGCCTTCGCGCTGGTTTTAGGTTATTGATCGCTGGTGGAGGGCTTGGCGTGGTGCAAGCTGCTTCTCCACACAGCAGATATTGATCCGAGTAGACCAAATGGTGCACGTGAGGTTTTGATGTATAAGTCAGAATTTACTTGCATAGATAAAAGGTTTATTTCAAAAACTGAATCTGCAATTTGGATTGAAAGGAGTAGCGTGCTAATGGTGTTTGATCACAGCATGTTTTATTCAAAGATCAAGGCACAGAATTAGATTTTTTTTCTCGTTTCCCTGGTGTGCTACTTTTTGTGTGTAAGCTGCTGTGTTGTTTGCTTGTAGAGAACTAATCTGATTGCACTCGTACCCTGAGCTGTTGCATGACAAGCAGGGGTGTTGAAGCAGGGCATTACCTTTCATTTACCATGGGGCCCTGTGCGACCTCGCTGGATTATTCATATAAAGCAGATTAAATGATGCAGACTGAGTAAATGATAAAGGAAGCAACAAAAACAGATGGGTCTTTACGGTTTATTCCTGCCTGCTAATATTTTAACACCTTGTCGTGAGGTTTAAAAAGTCGATTCCTGCGACCTTTTTCTTTACGGTGTCACGTCTGAAGTCGTGACGGCTGTGACACAAGCAGTTCTGCTCACACACACACGGTAACAAACCAAAACGCAGACACGCACAAATCCTTGCTGTGAAATTCATGTTGGGGTGGGATGGGCGGTGTTTTCGCTCTCTGATGTTTGTATGGATTTACATAAACACGTTTTCTCCCTCTGCCGCTTACACTGATGCTCTGATGATCTCCGGCTTTCAAAATCTCAGACACATTTTATGCTTTCGCTGTGTCCCTAATGCTCTTATCTGCTGTGTACAGCTATAAAAACAGACTTAAGTTCTCAGTGCTAACGTTACAAGCAGCCGCGAGCACCATGAAGTGTAATGATGAGTGCAGCTGGCACGGCCACAGAGTTTGGACATCTGATGTAACAAGTGTCCGTCTGTCTCATTTGGATCAAAGAGGACATGATGTTTTGGCTGCTATTAAATGAATTTAAGATGATCTTTCAATAATTACAAATTTAATGTGAACATATAATAATTCCCTGCTGTTTCAGTGGACGTGAGCACAGCGGCGCTGCCCTCCACCGCCACAGCCATCCTTCCCATGGATCTGCGCATAGTGGACCACGCTCACCACCACCAGCAGCAGCCCTCCTTTGGCTTGGTTCCTCCACCCCACCCCACGCCACCCACCTCCACGTCTACTGAGACAGGCCGCGGACCAGTCATTAGTAAGTCTCCGCTTATCTTGCGGCATTGCAGCCCGTAGATGTAGATGCGCTGAGTAATCGCGTCTCCAAAACCTCCCACAGGCCAGCAGGAGCAGCACCTGCAGCAGGAGCTGGTGGCTCTTAAACACAAGCAGCAGCTCCAGAGGCAGCTACTCATCGCAGAGTTTCAGAGGCAACATGAACAGCTATCACGACAACATGAAGCCCAGATGCAGGAGCATGTCAAGGTGAGGTGTTGTGATGAAGATGGAGAGGAGAAAATTTCCTCTCCTCCCGTCTGTCTGTCTGTCTGTCTGTCTGTGTGTGTGTGTGTGTGTGTGTGTGTCTGTGTGTGTGTGTGTGTGTGTGTGTGTCTGTCTGTGTGTGTGTGTGTGTGTTTGTGTGTGTGTGTGTGTGTGTGTGTTGTGTGTGTGTGTGAGAGAGAAAGCTGGATGGGGGTGAGGCGGGAAATCTTCCTCGGATACTGTAGAGCTGTACTCAGCAGAAATATGCCTGGTGAAGGGCAAACAGAAACAAATTGAATTTAAGTGTGTATGCTGGTGTAATCTGATCTAGTGCTGGTACGTTTTTCAGCAAATCACCCAGCTGAAAACCCCCCAAAAAACCTGACTGTGTTGCCATAACCACAAAACCAAAAGGTAACAAAGACTGTCAGTTTGGCCTGACTGCATCTCTAACAGGCGTAGCTACCTCGATGCCACCCGCTTTGAACCTGGATGTGACAGCAGAGTGACCGTGAAACCCTCATCCTTACTGGCTAGTGACACACAGGTCGTTACAGGATGCTTGCCAACAAGCATATTCCGGATAATCCAATATAAAATAAAATAACAAAAATGAGTGACTGAGCCCATAAATTCATCAGGAGAGTGTTTACAGAGAACCGTTTCCCCATAGACTTCTGTAGGACTGGAACCACAGCTGTCGCCCCCTTGTGGCCATTAAAAAAAATAATGCCATTCTATATTAGCTTTGCTTTTCAGACTCAGTCTTTCTTGCTGTCTGTGATGTTATTTATTTATCTGCAGATCACCATGGCTAAGTCCTTTCAGCTCATACTGATTCTTCTTTACTCTCCTCGTCCTTCTCTCAGCACCAACAGGAGTTACTGGCGCTCAAGCATCAACAAGAACTGTTGGAGCACCACAGAAAGATGGAGCAACAACGTCACGAGGAGCAGCTGGAGAAGCAGCAGCGGGAACACAAACTCCAACAGCTCAAAAACAAGGAGAGGGGACAAGAGAGTGAGTAGCGACTGCCACAGAGAATTATTTTTAAAGAAAGCGACCAAGAGATCTTCATAAAAAATGTGCACAGTGTTACTGTAAGAAGGTAACGTATGGCCAAAATAGTCAGTTCAGTGCTTGGATTTACTCCGCAGTGGGATCAAAGGTGTTATGAACAAAGTCTTCGTGTTCGACCGAGCGCATATTTGCTCTGCTGCGCGCTGCCAACATCTGCTGTACCTGTGCAGAAACACTGTGTCATATTATCACAGCAGGTGTCAGAGGAGCTTGGCCCTCGCAGCCCCTCTGTCACAGCACCTGCAGTTACAGCACAGCAGTCAGAACAGCCTGACCTCACACATTCACCGCAGGGAATATCATAATAAGACAGCCAAGACGGGGTTAGAGGGGCGAGACGTCGTGCAGAAAGACGTGTCGTCAGTTTTTCTACAGGCGGACTGATTGTGAAATAAAATGACAGCAATAAAGCTGAACCAGGCAATGTTCTCTCTCTCTCTTTATTCCCTTTAAACATATTTCTTGGTCTGGTATCATTTCTTTAGACATCATTGCATCAGTTATTTAATCTCTGTGCTCACCAATAACAACTGGGACAGAGCAAGATCATCTCTATTGTTTCCTCTACTCAAAATATTCGAACTCTCCTTTAAAATAAAATGTGATTCCTTATTATTTTAGCAGCATCAAGCTAATTGTGTTTCTAATTGTTACAGCTAAATAGTACTCGTATGAAAGACTCACTGCGTAATTGACTTTGAATTTCCTTGTTGAATGGCGCTTTGTTTATAAACTTGCCCTTTCGGTGACATTTCTGAGCCACACTTTCCTAAATTGCTTCTCCACTTGTACTTATACTTGAATCAGTCTTGTAATATAGAAATGTGCATCCATCCATGCTGCTGTGTGTTTGTGCGCATTTTCATGTCTGTAAATGAACAAAACGAGGTTTTGGATACGACCGTAAACACAGTTTAACGAGGAGGAAATGGCTCACGTATTCCTGTATTCGTACTGATATAATACTAGAATATATATATATATATACACACACACACACACACACACACACACACACACACACACACACACACACACACACACACACACACAGTGTATGGACCCCCACTTTTCAGAGCCATTATTTTTTTCCAGTAATGCCCTTTTTCTCAATCATTCTGCGCTGAGCAGAGTGAGCCTACAGTTTGACGTCTATGGAAAAAGCATTGGGTTGCAAACAGAGGAAGCTTTGTTAAGTACTGCACTAAATTGCATCTGAGGCAGTCTCATAAAAGCCAATTTGCTTCAGTGGCAAAGCAGACATTTTGGGATGTCAGCACTTCCAGCTGCACCATGATTTAGGGAACATGTATTAGCTGTTGTCATTTTCACACAGTGAATTTACCACTTCTGCTCTGAGGCTCGACACGTCACCTGTTATCACTCCTACTGTCACATTCTAATGAAAACACACCTCTACTCTATTCTCTACTTTCTGAAACCAGTTTTTTAAGCCCGGCTTCCCTCGCTCTTCATCTCTCCTTCCCTCTCACCTGCCTCTGTCTCCCTCCCTTGATAATTTGTTTGTTGCTGTGAGAGGAGGTTGGTAATTGAGGAGAGACCAGGAGCGGAGTGAAACTCGTGATGCACGTCTTCGAGGCAGGTTACGTAGCGCTGCAGTGGTCTCAGTGGGATTTCAGTGACACTCTAATGCAAGATTGTGCACTCTGATTGTAGAACTCAGATTGCCATTATCTGTCAAAGTATGGATGGATGTAGTTATAATCTTCCTAGTGTCACAGACTGGAGAATATGGCAGCAGCTCACGTAGGGCAAAAGGTTCTTTGTGCTTTGGTTGGGAAGGACGTGGCTGTGCTGAAAAATGTTCTCACGCTTGCTTACTGTCCTGCCCGTCTCTGTGTTGCTGTGCAGGTGCAGTCGCCAGTACAGAGGTAAAGATGCGACTTCAGGAGTTTGTCCTGAACAAAAAGAAAGCCTTGGCTCAGCGAAACCTAAACCACTGTCTGCCCAGTGACCCACGCTACTGGTATGGGTGAGTGTCATTGTTTTTGCACACATTCTGCAACAACTGCGTCACAATTTGTGGAGGAATTCCTGAATATCTGTTTGGCTGCACTCGGAGTGTAAGTAGTGAAAGTGAATTTCCGAGTGTTGCATGTTTTTTTTGGGGGTTTTTTGCCAGTTCATCTGAGTCAATAAACATTTTACCACAAATGCATTGCATTAATTGCCAACTTGACCCAATTCGGTGGAAAACTGATAGCAGACTAAATTAATCTTATTGCTGTTTTGTTGCTGTCTTGACACAAAGTCGGTTTGAAGATGGTGGCTGCCCGCGAGCAGTCACAGACTTCCCCCACCTTCAAACCAACCATTTCAAGTTCATTGCACACGGAGGTTGCAATGAATCTCCAACCACTGTGTTCCTTATTGTGACTGTACCATTGTGAACGTGGTGCCGGGGTTACCACCGCCCATCTGTGTGGAGTTTTGATGTCCTCCTCCTCCTCCTTCTTCCTTCTAAAGTCAAACATTTTAAAGATGAAAGAATTTTAGAGCAATTTCTTCACACGGGTCAGGAATTAAATGACAAACCCCTGAGCCCTACACTGATGGCTCTGTTATACCGCGGTCCACTTTTCTACTTCTGATAGAAATCAGGATGCGACGTTTTGGATTAACATGTCATTAACAGCTCTCGCTGCCACCATCAGACTGGTCTTTCATACATCAGGTGGTTTAATATAGACTTTGTAGATTGATTGAAGTGAAAAGACTTTGTTTTAAATGCTTTATGTTGACTTCTTTTAAAACATTTTCACATCAATGTTTCAATAACCTTAATATTCAGAGCTATGAAACATCAGCATGTGATATTTCTCATGCATTTACGAGAGTTTGGTTGCTGCTTTTTTTTTTTTTTTTTAATCTAAGCAAAAAAAGAATCGACACTAGGAAAAATATCAAACATAAAAACCAGTGATGAGCAACATGAAAGTCTCTCATCATCCTGGCTTTGCAAACATGGCGAACCCCGTGGTGTTACGAACTCCTGTTGTGTAGGCGTCTGTCATTGATGTGCTTTTGTGTTCACATCAAATTTCCAACATCAGCATTAGCCTCTCTGAGTCGAGCTGCAGAGAAAACGTTGAAGCGATGAGGCTTTTTTTCCTGTCAGTGTTTGTTGTCAGTGATTGACAGCTAGCTCTCTTTGAGGTGTGTGCGCATGTTTGAAGTGGGCAGAGAGAAAAGACAATGGCACCTCTCCTGTGCTTTAAATATTTGAAGAGGCTTTAAGCAGTCAAACATTTCTGCCAAGGCAGGAGATGATGGAATAATCAGGAGGACTGTGCTGCCAGTCGCTATAAATCACGCTTATCACGGTTTCCCCTTTCTTTAGGGTTCTCTCCGTTTGTTTGACCTGTTGGCATTCTCCTCACTTCTCTCATGCGTGTATTCCCTCTCTGTTTCACCTCTGTCTCTGTGCATTTTCAGCCCGTTTACTTTCCTAAAATGAAAAATGGAAAAAAAAGGTTTTCAGCTTTCAGGCTTTGTCCCTCTAGCTTTACCTCTTTCTTCCTTCCACCCACGTCATTGTCCACGCTCTGACGTGTCTAGCTGACTTTGGAGAGAAGACACAAGCTTGTGTGTGGGTATGCGAGTATCAAAAGTCACGTATAGTAATAGATTGAGCTGGGAATGTGTCGTGTGTACAAAGCCGCGTTTCCACATTCATGTAGCACGTTATACTGATACTGTTTAGTGTTTTTAATCGTCTGTTTTGTGTTGTTTTTTTTTGTTTTTTTTGCAGAAAAACTCAGCATAGCTCTTTGGACCAGAGCTCACCTCCACAAACGGCACTGTCAGCGTACAACCATCCCATGCTGGGCACATACGACTCCAAAGATGACTTCCCTCTCCGCAAAACCGGTACAGAAGGCTTTGCTGAAGTTGTGTTGATTGTTGACCTTCCCCACACTTCCACAGTGCTGCACTGATCTTCCTTTTTCCTCATTTAGCAACGTGAAAGTTTTGTCTTACTGGTTATCAACCACATGAAAAATTACGGGAGCTCTTAAAATTGTTGTTTAAAAAGATAACACGGAAGATTGAAGATAATAGAGCCCTCTGTTTGCTTAGTAGTCCGTTAGCTTAGCATTGCGTGAGGACTGGAGGCGGAGTCTGTCTAGACACACACTAGATTTTGCTGTTTTGGGTTTGGTTTTTTTCAGAAAAGCCAAAGTAGAAATGACAACAATGGGCAGGTTGTCAAGCAACCAGCACAAACTCAAAGATAAGAGACCTGAAATGGTTCTGAAAAAACATTTGTCTTGGTTTCAAGGTCTTACAGTAAATGTGAGTGGAAACATTTTTGTTTACGGTCAGCTTCTCCTTAGAAAAACTCTGTAGGCTGTTTGCATTCTTTAAGATTTTAACTCAGTCATTCGGTCACACGTCTTCACAGACACCATGAATCGCTCCGGTCAACAAAACAGCACTGAAGGAAATGTAAAACAAACTTACTGCCTTTTGGTTGCATCAGATTCTGTCCATCTGTCCATATTAAGCACAGCCAAGCTGTGATTATTCACTTAGCGTCAGCAGCTGCTTTGGCCGTATCACTGGCTGCTTTCACAGCTGGAGGCCAAACTCTGTGTACTCTGCACTCTTGCCCACCTGCTGCGCATTGGAGGCAGGAATGATTTTTCCTGGCACACAAACTCACACTGCGAGTTTCAACTTTCAGGGACACTTTATGTAATTCAGGAATTTTCCCCTGAGAAATATCCACAACTTCAAAATTCTTCCCACTGAGCACTGACACAAAGCTTAATGAGGAGTTAATTATATATCAGAGCGCGCGTGCAAAGACCTCTTTAAGATAAGTGTTTTGGATTTTAAGGTATTTCTGCTTGCGCGATATAACCAGAGAAAGAGATGGAAAACTCGATTGCGTATAGACATACAGATACGGCTACTGAGGAACTGTTGTGTCAGAAGTGAGCAGGACTGGCTGAAGTGAATATGTGAACTGTGTTCGGAGGAAGTGAGTGAAAGCAGTCGCCGCAGTCGTGCACTCTGCTGACGCTGGAGCTGTCACACATGACGTTTTTGCCCTATTATGTTCACTGAATGTGCATTAAAAATTATTTTTTGACTAGCAAGTTCAGGCACACAGTATATTCCAAAAGGGGCTCATTGTCCAAGTATGGAGGGCTTTGTGGTAATGACTCTCAGAACACAGAAGGCCACTTTGAACGCTATGGCAGGAAGTCTGCAAGGCCTTCACGACAGAGGCAGACTTGTCATGCTGACCCCATTTCTCCCTGTCTCTTTCATACGAGATCACACACTGACATTCCCATAACACACTTTGCACTAATGCCGAAGCATGCAGGATATCCGCGTGCAATTCAGAACTTTCCTTTTTCCTTCTTTTCTCCTGCTCAGCTTTACATTTTGACACTCCTTTATGAGCTGCATGTCTCTGGTGACTGTAGTCAGGAAGGTCACGTCCTAGCTTTGAGTTTAACTGCGTTCTTTATTGCTCCTATCTAACCCCAGGATGAACACTTAGCACTTCTACATATTAAACTAAACAAAAGGTAAATCAAGCAAAAGACTGACTGTTTGGGATGTTGCTGGAATGTGAATTGGTTGCGCCATGCTCTTATGGGTCGCTCTGGTATGTTACAAATGGCGGTAAAATAGCTGAATTGTAAAAATGACTCCATTCTTTCATTCTCGCTTCTCATATACGGCTCGGCTGTCGCTGGTTTTAACAGTTGTGTCTCCCCTGAGAAAACCTCAGTGTTTATAATCAAAGGGAAACTGTTGGCGAGCTCTTTGGTGTCTTATGTTCATATTTATTTAATGTGCCCGCAAGAAATCTTTTCTTGAATTATGGTTTTTAATCACAATGCTGTCTTTTCATGCCATAAAATGGCTTTAGTGAACTGCTTAATCAAAGTTGATTGACTTTATTTTATTTTTATTTTTTGTAGAACACATGCAAATGAGACAAAGGCTTGTCTATATGTCTTTGTGTCTGTGTCCATCTAATCCATTTATCTAATGTAGATCCACATATGATGTTTCTCGGAAGCTCAGTTGATGAGTTTCAGCAAACTGCTCTATTGATTTCCATAAACCTCCCTCCCTCCCTTTCCTTGGCACAGCAGCACGGCTTCCCCCGGCTTGACTCCTTTAGCCCGGGACTCCTCTGTCAAAACAAATGAGCATCTGATCAATATGTTTTAGATCTGAGAACCGGTTTCCCCGTCACCTCCCTATTAAAATATTAAATACCACATATGCAGATGTTTAATCTGAGATTTAATGGATAACTTGAAGTGTAAGGGATCAGAGAAAGATCCCTTCAGAGTTTTTGTCCTGTTCCGTGAACAGGAAACCATCAGCACGATTCATATAGCCACGTGACGTCAGGGAGTCTTGATGCATGGTCAAGCATCCAGGTAGGACGTTTCTAGAATTTCATCTGGATGTTTTGAGGGGGTGATAAAAGATATAAAATGCGCCTTAAATTCAAATATCTTATACCACATCACATTTATCATGCTCGGACTGTTGGTTTTTAAAGTATGTGTTATATAGGTTATAAAAGTCCTTCTGGTCCCATCTATTATCACACCTACAAGGCCACACAGTTATGCTGCCTAATGTCCTGCTCTGGTGGGAGATTATCTAAATCTGAAAAAAAAGAAAAAGAAAATCGAGGCAGTACTGTAACAAGCAGTGTGTCCATGAAGAGTCAACAATAAGGAGCAGGAGAGGAAATAATTCCAGAGAAATGGGCTCTTAGACTAAGCCAAAGAAAGAAGGGCATGGATGGAGGTGAAGGAGGCACAAAAGGCTGCAATAAAACGCTATCATCAGCAGAAAAAAGAACCGTCTGGGCCCTCTGCAGCGAGTGTGTTCGCACGTGTGCACACTGGTGTGCTTCTGCCCAGTCGGCATTAACACCCTTCAAAGTCACTGTGTCCTGAGGTGAACACTCCCATTGTGAATGGTGCCCAGCGAAGACATACACCCTGCTTCACCCTCCTTCCTCGTCTCTTTAACGTCCTTCTAATCTCCAGCTTGTCCTTCGGTAGCGGTCGCACACTAGCCGCTCCCTTTAGCACTCCATATCGTAATAACTCTCACACACAAAAAACAACCTTGAATGCATCTCTCTTGTGTCTGCTGTAACTACCTTTGTGGTTCTTTCTTCTCAGTTTCCATCGCCTGGCTGCTCATGTACACAATCTACAGACCAGAGGGATTTTTGATTGCAGAAACTTTTTGGTCTATTTTTAGTCTGATTATAGTTCAAATCCTACTGACCAATCGTGTTTGAGCAAGCTTGCAGGGAGGTAAACGCTCCAGTTTGAGAGCAACAGAGTGGCTCAGAAACATCGGCTAGCATCTGATGACTATTTAGCTTTTTCTTAGTTATTACTAATGTATCAGTTCACATAAACAAGCAGGGGCATGTGATTCAGTCCACAGGTAGACCTTTGATGGAGGTAGATCAGCTCAGTTTCTCATAGGTTCTCAGCACACGGTTATCTTACTCTTGCCAGTATTTAAACGAATAATTGAATCGTGTTTAAACCAGACAGAGTCAGTCAGGTAAACCAGTTATGTCGAATGCTTTCTTTTATGACAGCTACAAACTTCATCAGTGAATGCTGGCATTCATACAAAGATAACACTGATTGCCTTTTTTAATGGCTGAGAACTACACAAAGGCCAACTTTTGTTCTGTTTTGTTGATTAAATCAGAGATTATTAAAGCAGAGAAAACCTGACGTGCAGTTATTATCGGGGTTTTTTGTCAGTTATCATTATCGTGTCAGCACTGAAAGAATGGTCAGGCTGTTACAGTTCAGCATGTCATAGTCTAAAATAAAACTTTAATGCACTGCGCTCCTTTTCTCACAGGCTTCACTCTCCCAGGGTCTCCTCCTGTTAAACTAATGCATAGCATTTTATCCTCAGTCTCCCCGTCCCTCTTAACAAAGACTTTGGAAGAGTGCCCTCCACTAAGAAGGTCTTTTTTAAATAATTGACTTTCATAAGTTCTGCAGCACTGTTCCCCTTAAAATTGAGAGTGCATTTGAAAAAGTACTTAGACATTATAGATTCATGATAGTTTATCTCATCCCCGCTGACCAGGAGGTATAATGAAAGCTAGCACCTCTTTGAAGTACATTAAAACTTGGTGCATTATCCTACTTTGATTAGCATTCTAGGGGCCAGAGGGTTTGTAATGACCCAGAATAATTCTTCTGCTGCAGAATAAATCTCCACATTACACAAAGAATCAATCGCTTCCACTTGGCTGTACCAAAAAGCCCCGCCTCCTTCTCTGAGGCTAATGAATGAGGCATGGTCTGTTTGATACTAGGTCAGGGGACGAGCATAGGGTCAACTGGTGGTCAACCGTCCTGCTTTACCTAAGTGAACGGAAGGAAGCCAGTGGAGTAGAGAATAAATCTGCCTTTGTTTGGTAAACTGCCTACAACAGAGACACCAAAGCAGCACTGCGCAGAAAATGTCAAGCGCGGATCGTGACATGACAGGAATCCCGGATATACCGTACGCCTGCCTCTGACAAGCCTCTGCACCTCATGTAGCGCCTTCCCACACCACACACAGCATTTGCGTAGTAACCTAATTGAAAACACTGGCAGTTTTCTTTTCATTTTTCGTATTTGTATTAAATTGGAAGTGTCTGGAAACAAGCAGTGTTCATTAGCAGAGCGTGAAGGCAGCATCATTAAGCGTGGGGTCAAGGAAAATACCATTTGGCTGCTTCCCCTGGTGTTGCACCGCTTCCCGCTGTCACATGATGATGGCAAACCTCAGCTCCCAAATATGTCAGCCAGTGCATACAGTGTGGTCTATAGGGACAAGCTCATTAGCACCGCTACACGCCAACAAACGAGCTCCCACTCGTGTGACCCACAAATCTGAGGGCCAGACTGCCAGGTTAGAGAAACTGTGTAAACTGTAAGTCATTTATGGGGCGAGCTTGAGCTGTAACACATTTTATTTTTAGAAATGGTGCTTTAGTTGGAAATTAAAGGCCTCTAGCCCTGTCGCAGCTCAGCTATTTCAGTTATAGACATTACAAACAGACATGAGTTTAAGTCAAAGAAAGTCTGATTTACTTTAGGATGTAACATTTTAGCGTCTTTACATTACAATATGAAATTCTTTGAGGTGACAGTTGTAGTGACACTAAATCGTTTAAACTGGATTGAAATGTATGGACATTTGTGTCTTTTCAGCCTCTGAGCCCAACCTAAAGCTTCGTTCTCGGCTAAAACAGAAGGTGACGGAGCGTCGCAGCAGCCCTCTGCTCCGTAGGAAAGATGGACCCCTTGCTACTGCTAAGAAGCGTCCCCTAGACGTTGCTGGTAAGGACTCCTGTCACTGTTGTTTTAAGGTGCTATCACAAATAGTAACCCAGTTTGATGCATTTCAATGCAGAAAGTTGATTCATTTTTTCTTCATTGTATGTACTCTAGAGTCTGCATGTAACAGTGCACCAGGCTCAGGTCCCAGTTCCCCCAACAATGGCTCCAGTAATATCCCCACAGAGAATGGGATCACAATCTGCAGCAGTCCAGGAGAGGTAAACATCATGGCATCTCTAATTATAGCGTATGCACATGTGTGTTTGTGAAGCAGGACACCAGGATTTGCAGTGTTTATTTATTTTAATAGAGGCATCAGCCTGTGAGTATATTTAATCCATACACTGTATATGAAAGATGGACTTGGCCACCATGACTAGGGATGGGTATCGGTATCCCGGTTCTGACATAAACGGAGGTAACCAGACCGAAAAGCAGCGCACATTTCGGTGCTTTTTTCCTGAGATGTGATACATTTTAGATTCTAGCCAATCATTTTACGTTTCCAAGGATAGTAGGCGGGCCCAGGTGCGTCCGTTCTTTTAGAGCAGAGCTACAGATTAAAAATGTCCAAGGCGAAGCGATCAAAGTCTGGCTGTACTTCACAGCAAAAGATGCAAACTCAGCAGCAACAAGTGCTTTAAGGTGATACTGTGATACTGTCAAAGGAGGCAACACCTCGAATCTGATAAAACACCTGGCGACGTATAGCATTTTGTTAAAAGGCGAGAAATGCGCCGTATTTGATAGCTTGCTGCGAGACCTCACACCGAGCACATCTACTGCGGGTGTGGTGCCTGTTATCGGACGCAGAGTTAACAACATCCCCCAAGAACCGGAAGAGGAGAGTCCTGGCCCCTAGCCCTGCCAGTGTAGCAGAAATGATGAGGATGATGATGCAGCAGCAGCCGTTCTTCTCTGTAGCTTAATGTTGTCCGTGTATAATTCACGTTGAGTAGGCTAACCACGTAATTACATTAATGCATGTAAGGTGAACTAGCAAACACCATCATAGCTACATGCGGCTGTCTTCTTGTTTGATGGCAGATGCTCCCTTCACCCTGGCCAAAAAGGCTAAAATGATCAAAGAAAAAGTGGAAAACAGTTAAACATGAGAGGTTTTTGGACAAAATTGGTGTTTTTTCCATTGTTTAAGCACTGCTTCCAGCCAAGAGTGATACCATATATGCCCCATAGTTGCAGAAAAGGCTAACATTGTTATCTTTTTACAAAAAAAACAGCTAAACATGAGAGGTTTTTGGACCAATTTTGTGTTTTCCATTCTTTAAGCACCATTTAAGCACCGGCACCATTTTAAAAGTACCAGTTTGGTACTGGTATCAGATAAAACCTAAACGATACCCATCCCTAACCATGACATAAACCTCTGCTACCAAAAGTGGTTAGCAGTTTGTAATAGTAAACTATACAGATGCACAGATAGCTGCTTATTAGTGATAAGTAACAAAAGAACATGATACTAGATTTTCACTCTTCAGAGAAACCTGTCGCTTCAAACAGCCACACCTTTACTTCCACATGACTCTAAGAACATTTAACTGGGCGATAGAGTCTGCGTCAGAGGACATAAGTGTTCAAGGCCCAGAGAGACAACCAGCTTTCTTAGAAAAGGGTCTCACTGCTGTTTCAATAAATAACAGCAATGAGACCGAGAGCTAAATTCATAGAGTAATCACACAAAACGGTGTTATTTATAGTACTCCAGGAATCAGTCCTAGATAATACAGTCATAATGTGTGAGTCATACAGGCTACACAGAAAACTCAAGGACAAATAACCCGCATCACAAACTTTCTCAGGTGCAAAAATGGTGAACTCTGCACATCTTGAGACAGTTGGAGTCTCCGAATGTGATTCCTGGAATCCCATCGACATTTTTTTTAAACATTCTGCAATTTTTAAGTGATCTCACATTTTATAACGAGCCGCACGAGTGGATAAAAACCATGTTTTACATCCAAAGAGACACGAGGGGTACTTTCAAAAGTCTTGCATGGGCTCTTCAGCTCCAAAATCATCAGGTATTCATCAGTGGCCTTCAGCCAGCTAGGTTAGGTATACTCTGAAGTTAACCGTGTTGCTTCTGTCTCTTTGGGTCTGTAACCCTTTCATGACCGAACTCTGTGTAAAAGAGCCTGGACCACAGCCTGACCCTGTGGTGTTAGGTGAGGTATAAAAAGCTCCATACAGTTGACATAATGGGGAAAGTAAGTAGGAAGACCAAAAGAGTTGGTGCCAGGATGTAAACATGTTTATTTCTGCTATTCTGTTATTCTCTGTGGACTCACGTGCATTTGATGCCAGCCTCAAGTGGCAGTTTGAGGAACTGCAGTTTTTGGCTGTTAAGCTTTGGCTTCATTCTTCACCTGCAGAGATACCCGCATCTGTTTAATCAGTGTCATCATTTAAGTCTTCATAAAGCAAGTCAATTTTAATTTTCGGGGGAAGTTTTGATTTTAGGTTAATGTTATATTTGGATTATTCATGCCATAGCTGTGGTTACATATTGTGGTAAATAGATTTAAATGAATCTAATATCCATGGCTGTGTGTGCATTTGTATGTGTGAGAGAGATGCAAAAGTCTTGCACTGTACACAGCACTGTTTTCTTGGATCTGCACTGTATTTATGTCAATGTGAATGTGTCTGCAGACCTCGCTGCTCCAGAGGCTGGCAACACGGGAAGGGTCAGTTAGCCAGCTCTCTCTCTACACCTCTCCCTCTCTGCCCAACATCACCCTGGGCCTGCCAGCCACAGGACCTGCTAGCACTGTGAGTCCATTTAAAATACCACAGAATCAAACTTTTAGATATGACATTAGTTATAGCGAATCGTTGTACTGTAATTATTCTCATCACTGTGGAGAAGGTTCATTGGTTAGTTTCCTTAGAAATACAATGGATATTACAGAGTCTCTAACTGGATTTGAACTCGTCAGTCTTGTCATTGCCTTCATTCTTTCCTTCTTTCCCCACCTTAACATCTCTTTCTCCCTCTCCCTGCCTGTGTGTCTTTGTAGGTGGTATCGGGACACCAAGATGGCGAGAGTCATCTGGCATTGCCTGCATTGCAGCAGGGCATTCCACTGACCCCTCCTTTCCTGCCCTCCCACCTGCCCTCCTACTTGGCATCTTCAGCACTGGACAGGGAGGGCCCAGGAGGGGGCACGGCGGGTCACAACCCCCTCCTCCAACACATGGTACTGCTGGATCCAAGCCACAGTCCAGTGGGTCAGTTTTCACTGCAACATTTGCAGGATTTTTCTTTTTCTCTCTTTCAAACAGTGGGTGAGGTCTGAATTATTGATACTGTGTGGTCCACCGAAAGAATCTACAGCCCAAATATTTTGCTGTTTCTTCTCTAAGCTTTAGCAATAACAGTATTATGTTTCAAGGTGTGCCAAAATAATTACTGGAAAGATTACATACACACAATTCAAGGTTCTAATGATTCGGGCAGCTTATAGTTTTGAGAGCATCACTGGAGGAAAAAACGTCAACGATTTTTAAGGAATAAAATAAATACGATTTTTGTTTGAGATTATTTGTCGTGGATTCGGACAATGACCTCACAGTTCATTCTGTACTGCTGCAATCTGTGATCTCATTGGCTATTGTCTGCTGAATCTGGCCTCTAAAGATGAAGGCCGATCTTTTTTGGAAAGCTTCCCATGAAGCTGGCATATATCAGGACCAAGACTTCCTCTTCCTTCTGCTGCTCATTGTTTATGAATGGAGATGAATTAAAAACACTAATAAAGACCTAAATAGCTGACAAAGGATACATTTTGCCAAAATCAATCCTTTTTTGGCCTTTTGATTGCTCAGATGTGATTCAGCCTGAGGAGTGAAACTCTGTCGCTTACAGTACATTTAATGCATGATCGATTTTACTGTTTATATTGCAGGGGCTGCTTGAACCAAGCTACTGAAATTTATAAGTGGAGACAAATGTGGCAAACTTGTCTGACATCATCTTATTTTAAAATATCACTTCAGCTAGAAAAAAGCAGGACCTGCACTGCATTGCAGCTAAAATGTGCAGCCGGTATTCCTGAGTAACGGTTTCCATCCGTCATATGAGAGGGGCCCCTGTGGTTCCAGTTGTAAAGCCTCCAGTTTCTTTTAAGTAGATGAAATAAAATCACCTAAAATTATCACCGAAAATATGTGTGAATGATGAGTGGAGCTACAGAAATAAGACACAGCTTTTGGAAAAAAATGCTTGAGATCATTTCCTGCAACCGCTCTGTGTTTTCTGTAGTTGGGCTGGGTGGCCTACCGCTGCCATCGTCCTCCGTCTCCAAGCTCATGCGCAGCCACCGTCCCCTGGGGAGAACGCAGTCGGCGCCTCTGCCCCAGCAGCAGTGCGGACAGACACAGGCCCTGCAGCACCTGGTGGTCCAGCAGCAGCACCAGCAGTTCCTGGAGAAGCACAAACAACTGTTCCAACAGCAGCAGCAGCAGCACATCATCAACAAGGTATTTCAACACATGTCTGTGCGCAGTATCAAAAGTAACTCTGAACAGCTGCGGTATTGCAGGCAGCTGTATGTCTGTCCATATACTGTGTGTGTGAGTGTTTGTCTATCTACATGACACTGACTTGGTTAATGTTTGTGAGTCCTATTTTCTTTTCTCCAAGCGCTGGATGATTCAGCCTGCAATTAGCAAGTCTTTTAGCTAGTTTTTTTTTTTCTTTCTGTGTTCATGTGTCCCTGCTTCTCACTGTCACCCTGGCAACTGTGCACTAGAGGAAGCATCTTCCATATATGGTCACACAGGAAATATGACTCACTGCTTCATTGTTGAAGAGTGTGCGTATGTGCAAGCTTATGTGTGAAGTTGCTCTATGATGCAGTCATAATTTATGTGGCTGAAATTCATAATTTCATATACTGTGTCACATGGCTGCATTAAATGTGCCCAAAGGTTCAAATAATCAGGTAAATATTTGTACAAGTAATCAATGTGATCGAAAATCTGAGGCTTTGTCAGCTTATCATGGACGTGCATTCATCTACTCAAGGCATAGCAGCCCCCCAAAATATATATATCCATGCACAATAGGGGAAAGTTATTTGACTCCCTGCTGAATTTGTGCATTTGCTCTCGTGCAAAGAAATTAACAGTCTCTAATTTTAATGGTAGTTTTATTTTAATGGAGAGAAACAGATGTTTCTTATAGTTGCTCACCAGGTTTGCACACCCCTCAGGAGAGATTTTGGTCCTCTCCTCTTCACAGAAACTTTAAATCCTTTAGATGTCTTTGCTTGTCAGTGGGGTTGGTGTTCTGTGGGTCATACTCAGCATTTTCCTCCCAGTAAACATGGTTTCGTCCAACACCCAGGCCTTTTCTGAGTCACTGAGATGTTCACGGGGAAACCTAAGACCAGCCTGTGTGTGTGCCTTCTTGAGCAGGGGGACCTTGTAGCTGCTGAAAGATTACCAGTGGTGGTGTTCTTGGTGACTGTGGGCCCAACTGTCTTAATAGTTTTGGGCTTATTCACCACCTTTTCTCATGATCATCCCCTTGTAAGCTCTTGCATGGAGCTCCAGACTGAGGGTGACTGTTGGTCATTTTAGTTTTCTTCAGTTTCACCTCCTCACCAAGCTTCTTACTGATGCTTTTGTTGTCCATTCGACAATTTTGGACAACTTTTTGGTCTTGACATGATGGTGGAGAGGTTGGAATAAACAGGTGTACTTTATATACATAACAAGATGAGCTCTGGCGTATCTTTAATTGACTGGTTGTATCCCTAACCCCTAGTCTGTGGGATCTAGAATCCTGGCTGGGTTGCAGAGGATCACTGAGTGACTTTTATTCTGTCTCTCTCCATTAAACCGAAACTGCCACAAAATACAAGACAGTTTGTTTATTTGTAAGTAAGCAAACTTACAAAAAAAACCCCCATTGTTTATATATGATTAAGATACTAAATCAATAGTTTTATCACATAAAAAGCAAGCAGTGAGTGTCATACTTACCAGAAACATCCTCCTGTAATCTTTCTTGTTGTGGATGTCACCTCAATATTTCAGGTTGGGGATCAGGCTTGAACATGTATCTGCAGAAAGAGTTTTTCCCCACATAAAGATTTATACACTAGTAAGAGGAAGAGACGGACAAAGCATGCATATTAGAAGGAGGCGCTGAGGGAGACTGGAACTAAAATGGTTTGCGTTGCACAGAGGATGAGGTGAGGAGCTGCCCACTAATCACTAACAATCAGCAGCCAAAGTTTGCGGTACACCCAGAACAACATATATGCATAAAAATGAACAAGTGTAAAGTCACCAAAGCTTGTGGCAATTTCTGTAAATCCCATTAGGTTATTTGTCGGCAATTAAAATGAGCTATAATGTTCTGTGTAATTTTGCGTTGAGTTCTGCTACATAAGTCTTCCAATTAAGTCAGTTCATTTTTATTATTATTAGGGTCTAATTGTAGCTTACTGGTTTCCCGACTTGCCTCATGGGAAACAGATACTGGATTTAAAGCTGCTGGAACGTTGAGGTCTTTGTACAGTTTGCTTTATTTCCCTGGGTTGGCGTGGTTACTCGCAGCCTATTTTCTCCTGTGTGGCTTGAAGGGATGACAATTGTGTATTTGTGTGTGTGGTGTCCATGACGGGCCTCGGAGAGACTTTCAAGCAATCCCTTACCTGATGATTTCCTCTTCATATAGCAGTGGAATTATCACACAGGATTAAATAAAAGGCGTCCAGTGAGGTTTTCAGAAGAGGCAGGAGTTCAGTGACTGCATGAAGTTGTTAAAAGACGCAGGACAGAAAAAGGATGGTGGTTGTTTAGTTAACTGGAGCCATTCTGCGTAGCTTTAAAAAGCTGTAATGGCACCTTTAACTTTAACGATCTGCCCTTTTTCAGCAAGAAATGTAACCCGAGTCCATTACTCAAAATATCACCTGAACACCTGAAGAGCTAGACTTTAAGCTTTAGACCACAACAAGAAAATGCTTTGGCGTGTGATGATCGCTGAGCGTTACTATAGTGCTGTGTATTATTTTACCAAAGTCATGCACAGAAGTAGATTAATGAATAAAACCTCGAGCTACTGAATGGTGTAGTTGTTCTCCTGCCGTCCGTGTCTGACTGCCGTGTGTGTGACTTGTTATCCTGATATTTGTGACTGTAATTATAGCTCCTGCATTAACCGCAAAGCACGATTATGACAGTGCTATTTTAGGTGTCTATTCATTTCCTGCTTTTTAATGTTGCCTAATATCATTGCACCATGGAAGTCATTGGAGAAGTATCCCCAGCGGACTCCGTAGTTACTCATTGCCTTTGTTTTGTTTTTGCCTCATAAAGATCAGACTTAATGAGGAATTTAACATTATCCCCAAGAAATATTGATTGCTGCGAGCTGGTTTTAATATCTGCTATATTTCTGTTTGACGTGGGAAAATACGCGACTAAAGTTAGCAGCGTGGGACGAATATGTTTCCAGTGATGCATGTAACGCCTACCATTTGACTCTTAAAAGTGGTGCTAACTATTATGTAGAAATATCCTGTTGGCAGGAGTTATTTCATTTACCCTTTTCACCCTTGGATATCCACCTCTTGACTCATCTGCAGTCTTCCTTCCCTTCCCTATTTGCATCTATCAGTCAAGTCAGCAGGAAAAAGGGGTCTTCCTGAAAACTTTTGGCTTTTTTCTGCAGCAGAAAGAAAGAAATGAATGAAAGAATCTTGAAATGGTTCCAACCTGAGCTTGCTGTGTGCCATTAATTACCCCCGATAGCTATGGCGGTACAGCGGTGTGCTTAGGGGAGAGAAATAAACGCACAGAGTCCGAGTGTATCAAGTGTTTCCACCACCCCGTCTCTCCTCTCCCTCTTCCAGCTGATTTAACAGGGTTATTTAGTGTCTGTCCCCCTTATGGTTCATGTCCCAGCCACTATTTCCTCTGTAAAAGAAGAAGGGTTAGACAGAGGGAAAGAGAACAAATTGAGAGAGAAAGGAAGAGAGTCAGTGTGGCAGGAGTGTTTTGAGTTTGTTTGGAGAAGAGGGACTGGGATGAGGCAAGAGCCTGCTCTCTCTGACGTCAATGGACTGTTCCCTGGGCAATATGCCAGCCGTGTGTGTGTGTTCCAGGCACAAACAGTGGTCCTGTCCAATCATGACCTGCACATCAAGGTTGAGGTCTGTGACGACAGGGACGAGGGCAGCTGCCAAAACAAGATTATTACAATCCCCCCTCTGCGCTGCTTCCACTCTCTTTCCTCGCTTTTTCTTTTCTCTTACAGGTTCAGACACGACGAACTTAGCAGTAAAATTCATCCGTAGTCTCAGGAGATTATATCATTAGTTTGAAAACAAATAACTAGCCTATCAGAATCCAGAGTACAGATGTGGTTTATTTCTGTGTGTGCAAAAAGTCAAAAGCCCCGGCTAATGTTAGCTTTTGGTGGGTTTATCTAAGGTTGTTTTCATTATCTTTGTACGCGGACTGATTAGTCAGTTATTTTTGGAATGAAAAACATCCAAAGTGTAGTTTTAAATTGGGGCATGTTGTCCCTGATGTTTCCTTAGTGCTTTCCTCCCTTCATGCTTTTGAAACTCTCGGTTCTGTCTTTTTTCTGTTTTCTGGAACGTCTTTCTGTTACTGGCTCCTAACATCATCAGTTGACTCCCTAATCTTGGCCGAATGTTATGTGAATATTTTTTTTATGTCCAAAGTGTTCCAGTTTTCCCTCTAAAAACATGCATAACACCGTCAAACCACTGCGTCAAAAGTTTGACCTGGCCGTGTCTTTTTGCCCTCTAGATAATGTCCAAGCCCGGCGATCAGGCCTCAGCTGCAGGCCCGGGTGCCTCAGGACCAGGCAGGCAACACCAGAGTCACCCAGAAGAGACGGAGGAGGAGCTTAGGGAGCACCAGGCGCTCTCCTCGTCATCATCGTCCTCCTCTCCTACCTCTGGGCAAGAGACGGGGTTGCTACGTGGGGTGGTCATCAAGCAGGAGCCTCCGGATCCCCAGGAGCAAGAAGAGAGGGAGCAAAGAGAGAGGCAGGCTGAGCAGGACTTCCTGTTCAGACAGGTAAGCACGAATGGCGGGGACTAGTTGGAGTGGAAAAGGCGGACTGGGCATGAAATTCAAATTCAAATTCCACAAGTTTAATCTGGCATTTATAAAAAGGCAGAAAGTTTCTTCTTTTGCATGACTCTAAAAGCAGTGTCAGATTCATATGTTTGACATAATGTCTTCATATATGTGCATGATGATTCAAACTGGCAGCGATTACACAGTATGGAGGATTCTTTTTGTATTACAGTAATCAGTAAGTGGTTGTAGCTGGGCTGAACAACACACTGATAGCAGTGACAGATGGAGCTTCTTGTGACTGAAACATTACACTCCACATTTGTTTGATCTGCCTTTCCTCCCGACTGGACTGACTACCCAACCCGCTTCCAGTATAATATGTGTATAAATATCCTCGAAATTAGTCCGTAGCACAACTTCATGCGGGCATACACGTGCAAGTATTTTATGTAAAAGCTGTTAGCAGCAACAAATCTCTCTGTTACACGTGAATTTGTACATCGCAGTCTCTCTTTGGCCACATCCCTGCTGTCCGCTCAGCCAAATTCAATCAGACACTCCTCTCACTGTCGCCATGGCGCCCATAGTGTAGACAGACACACCCATCAGAGCAGGAAAACACGACTGCTTAGCGAGCACTGAAATATTCCACTCAGGTGCTTACAGATCATTTTGAAAACAATTACATAAATAGTTACATAATAACTTTTCTGTAAGCAGTTTAAAATAATTATCACGCCTTAATGTGAAACACTCATGTTTGGCACTATGTCAGCTAGAAAATGTTGCTTCAACAACCAAATGTAGTTTGGTTCTTTGCAACAGAATCTCTTTATGGAAGCTGATTAAACTGGGCGCTATAGCAAGTAGGAAGATGTTGGTATTTGGTGCCATCTTCTGGTGGGAAACACATATTGCAGCCCAGCTTTCTGTTGAATATTGCACTGTCTGTGTTTGTGAGCAGCAGGCTCTGCTCTTAGAGCAGCAGCGGATCCACCAGTTGAGGAATTACCAAGCCTCGATGGAAGCAGCCGGGCTTTCGGCCAATTTTGCTGGCCACCGGCCTCTGTCGAGAGCTCAGTCATCGCCAGCCTCTTCCTCCTTCCCCATGGTCGTGCAGGAGCCGCCAGCCAAACCTCGATTCACTACAGGTCTGCTGAGTTACATAATTATTTCTTTGCACATACACACACACACAGCAGTGATGCTTTTTATTGTCATGAGCACCACAGTAATCAAACACAATGCAGAGAGTGAGTAGCTGTGTGCAGTGTTTAAACATCCTAAACAGGGTTTTTGCTTATTGCACAATGATAACCTGTTGCTTTAGAAGAAGCAGGTGCAATAGATGATAATCACACCACGTCTTATGGTGTGACCGTAAAATGTCATCGTGACAGCTGTTTCTATCCTTGTTGTCAGTGGTGCATAATCACCCATATGTTTGTGCGTGGTGGTGTGTGAATTTCCCAGGTCTTGTGTATGAGTCTTTGATGCAGAAGCACCAGTGCATATGTGGTAGCACAACGAGTCATCCAGAGCACGCTGGCCGCATTCAGAGCATCTGGTCCCGACTGCAGGAAACAGGCCTCAGGGCGCACTGTGAGGTAAAGACAAAGTTAGACTTGTGTTATTATTGAAGGACAATTAGAAAATGTACATGAGCTTTCAGAGGCAAACAATAAGAATCGTTGTCAGTCTTTGGAAACGTTGAGAAAGCAAATGTTAACTTCACTGACGTTTATGCAGTCGTCTCCTGTTTGATTGATGCTAAACGCTTTACACTAGAAGCTACGCTCATATGTTTTCCCTCACATTCATAATGCACTTGTCTGTCGCACACACACCCTCTAAAATAGTCAGGTGCACTGGGACAATTCAGGGTTCAGTATCTCATCTAAGAACACTTATGGAGCAGGCCAGGAATCAAACTACCCACCACACCTGCCCAAATTTAAAAAACAGAAAAAAACCAGCACATTTGTTGTTGTGTCATTGGAAGTTGTTTCATATATTAGTGTTTGTGTTATTTTCCCCTGACAGTGATGTTTTACCACTTGATTGCAGGTTGTTGTCGTAGCCAGAAGGAGGCAGTGTTAATGCACTTCTTTTAACGTTTGTCCTTATAGGTGAAAACTCTCACATTGAAGTTTCGAATATGATCTAATATTAAACTGACTCAGTGACAACACTGGGACGCCCTGTATATTATTTCTTCGGGCTAACAATATGATAAAACTTCTGCAGAACTCTGCTCTCCTCTCCTGTTTTTGCAGGCAGTTTAAATGCGGAGCATGAAAAGCTAATCAGAAGTTGTGTATCTTTTTTTTCCTCTCTGTTTTCAGTGTATCCGTGGTAGGAAGGCCTCATTGGAGGAGTTGCAAACAGTCCACTCTGAAGCCCACGTCATGCTATATGGAACTAACCCGCTGCGGCAGAAACTAGACAGTAAGACGTGCTTCCTCACACACATTCACAAACACACTTTTTCCAAGCGTGCAGTGCTTCACCTCCTAGACTAGATTACTCATTAGTTTAGTCTAAAAAAATTGTGGATGCTTTAAGACTTACTAGGTTTTTGAGAATTGTAGAGTTTCATGCATTTATTCACAAGTCTGAAGTTGACCGCCTGACTCTGCAGGGTCCGTTTAAAGGAATCTGTTCTAATGCTTAAATCGTATCATAACTAAAGGTCCTTCTAATGAAGTCCTCAGAGGTGTTACGATAAGACAAGGACCAACTAGAGCTGCTAAACTAAAAGTCTCGCAGGCTGCTTAGTCACTTATGTCTGGCCTTAAAGTGCAGGTGTAGTGAAGTAGTCTGCATTATGTGAAAAAATCAAAGGGGCGAGCCCCAGTGGCGATCTTGGCTTTCATTCAGTGGAGGCATAAATTCCTCTTATTATTACTGCTCACACAGGAGTCTTACCAGATACTCCTGTGTGAGCTTCAGCGTACAAGTGGGATAGCCTACAGTAAGAGCTGGAGTAAAGGAATAAACCACAAAGGTGGCGACTAATCAGGAATTAAAGTATTCACACTATATTAAATATCTGTTAGTGGTGTAGTGTTTAACTCTGGATTAGGATTATGTTAAGCAGTCAGATTTAATTTCAAAAGAAATTACAAATAATAAAGTAAGCTGTTGTTTTGTTTGAAAGGAAATTAAAAGTGTAAGCACACATTTGAAAAGAGTTGACTCGGGTTCAGTAACTACGTCAGTTTATTGATTTTCTTCTTCAGTGACAAACTGACCCCTCTCTGGCCAAATCTAGATTTTTTTTCCTGAAGAAGGCTTGATTGAGAGGTCAAGCAGATACTTTTTTTTCTTCACCTCACCTAATTAAAGCATGCCCTTGTGTACTATTGCTGTTAGATAAGGTCACAAAGTCAAATAGTTGGTTTTAAGGGTGTCTGTGAGTCTGCAGTGCAACCTCTTCCCTTAGTAACCTTTCACTTTTGCTTTCTCTCTTTCTAATTCTTCACTTCATTTCTTTCTCTTCAGGTTCAGTAAATCCCATGTTTGTGAGGTTGCCGTGTGGAGGCATAGGGGTAAGTCACTTACTCTGTTTGTTAATTCATGCTTAAGTCATCTTCCAAATATTCACTGTCTAATTAAGTATTTGTAATTTGCGCTCTTGATATTTCTTGGAAAAGGCCATTGTTAGTCATACTGGTTTATTCAGTGGAAAATTGTTGTAATAGACACTTGTGTTTTTACAACACTGTTAGTCTAATCAATACCCATCTGGCACAACTCCATCAGACTCTGGAACGAAGCAAATAAGCATAGTTTCAGCCTTATCAAATAGCAGTATAATAAGTGTCTCCTTCGCCCACTCATTCTGCCCCCTGCCTAAATAATGGTCCCATTTGTTCTCTTTGCACCAAACAAACACACACAGCCTTGACACACTAGCACGCAGATGCACACAAACACACACAAACACCACCCCTCAAGGACCAGAGGCAACAAAAGCTGTTGCTCGCCTTTCCGCCGTGTTAGTAATTGTAACCAGATGTTACGAGCTGTGTGTGCGTGCGTGTGTGTGTGTGTGTGTGTGTGTGTGCGTGTGTGTGTGTGTGTGGGGCAGGGGGTATGACTTTGTTTGTGTGCATTGCATAGTTTGTGTTTGGGGATTCTTGTGTGCTAAGGCAATGATTTCGATGGCTGCTTCAAGTTGGAAGTGATAATGTATCTGAAAACTGATACATTGGAACAGTTGTGCACCTGTTTGTGTGTGTGTGTGTGTGTGTGTGTGCATGTGTGTTTCCATGCTTTTTTTGTTGTTGTCTTCACAATATTGAGCATTTGAAAGGCTACATCATGCCTACCTTGCCACATACTTGATCTCTCTACATCGTTCCTCATCTCCTCATACCTCTGTTTCCTTTCTCCTCTTCTTGCCTCCTTTGGGGCCGCCACTCCTGCTGCTGAACAAGAAAAGCCGGAGTTCTGCGTTGCTCTGTTCTGCTCTTTATAATGCCAAATGGGACTAAATTGTTGTTTTCCTGTCATACACACACATACAAGTCTTACATACACACACTCACTCGCTTGCAGAGGAAGGGGGTTCAAATTAAGCTGTCAGCCTGTGGAGAACCATCATTCTGTCATACCAGCACGTTCCCGCTATTTTCTGCCTCTAACACATACACTCACTCCCACTCACACACACGCACATGCACACACACACACACACACACCACTTCCCTTTCACTTTCCCCCGACGAGCTTGTGTCCCCCTCCAGGCTCGAGGCAAAACTAAACATCAACATGGGAAATAATAAAGCACTCGCGCTGCTTCAGAGCAGCATCTGTTTGCGCTCATTAACCTGACTTGTATATATGATTCAGTTTCCCATTCACTCACTCACTTGACTCTTGATTTGCTCGCTCGCTCAGTCATTGACTCGGCTACTACATACTGTCATCCACTTACACCGCGTTCCCCTCTCTTCACATTGGGTTCCATTAGTCACTCATCAACAATGCACTCCATACTTCCTCACTCCCCCCTTTTTTTAGTATCTTTAGTGTATGTTGAGCGCTCCACAGTTTCATTTCATGACAAATTCTTTCTTGGCGCAACTTTAAAAGAGCCCCTTTTCTTCTCTGTGGATGTTATTATGGAGTAATCATCCGGCCTTGATCAGTTTCGTCACTGGAGACCGGAGGAAAAGGGGGGGCGGCTGCCTGAAAGGCTGTCGACTCGCTCGGCTCGCTGACTGGTTGAAGGACCGAGGATCTGACTGGGTGGCTAAGGTTAATGTTCCACTCGGTCAGTTGACTGACTGAAAGGCCAGCGGCGTGGATGAAAGGGCGAGCGACTGGCAGGTTAAAGTTAACATATTCAAAGACCCCCAGGTTTACATCAGGAAAGCCTCGCTTAGAGCTCTGGCGTCGGCCGCTCTGCACATGTGTGCACGGTTCAAAACACACTGACACACAGGCCTTCACTTTCTTCTTTTCCTCAGCCAGCTTCTTCTCTCTGTGTTTATCGTGTGCTCCATCTGCCTGCAGTATCTGCCATGCCTGATGGAGGGTGTGTATATTATCCTGTGCGTGGCCCTCTGCGTACAATCAATCACACAGACTATTGTGGTCTGTTGGGCTTGTATGCATGTGTGTGTAGGTACTGTAGTGATTTGGGCTGGGGGGGGGCGCTGCCCGTGCTTCTGCATTAATCAGGCTTGACCACTGAATAGTTGCCCCGTGTCTAAGCATGCTCAAACACACACACGTTGGGTATTCATATCTTATGGGTATATCTAATTGACATAAAGCTTTCCCTATCCCCTCACCCTACCCCTAACCATGATATATGAATGCCTAACCCTTACCCTATACCTAACTATAACCCTATTGTAACCCTGTCACTAAAGCCACATTTTGAGTCTCAGAAATGCCTTCAGACTTGCAGGAACCAGGATTTTGGTCCTCACACGTATAGTAAACGTCCCTTTCTTGGTCCCCACAAAGATATGATCACACACACACGCACATTTTAGTCATTTAAAAAAAAAAAAAAAAAACTCATGTTCTATACCAAAAAAAAATATTTTTTTTAATCGGCCTTTTAGAGGTTTTTTTTTCGTCGTGTAATATTTTAAGGTGGATAAATTGTGGAATATCTCTAAATATCTGTAAATGTAATGAGTGTTGTTTGCCTGAAAACCCCTCTATATGGTTTAACCTTAAAACTGACGTATAAACTGACAACTTACTATAAATTTGCTGCTTAACCTGTTATTAATTAAGGCTTTTGTGTTTTCATCATATTATACTTAAGTCTTTGATTGGTCTCTGGAGTGCGGAGTTACAGTGTCATATCCTTACGGATCAAAGGGATTTTTAGAAAGTCTGTTGTATTATACACAATTTTACGTCTCGTAGTGTTTCTCTCTATTGTTTTCCTCACAGTGAATAAATTTTCCAGCCCTTCTTGCACCGCTGCAGACAAACTTTCAAAGAGTAACTTTGATGCTGTGAAATGACACAAGCTAAATGATTTCAAATGTGCTCAGTTTTACGACTTCTGCCCCACTCAAGTGCTGTCAGTAACACCAGCAAAAAAATAGATAAGTGGAAAACAGTATGAAGTTGCATATTTTGGCTCCGTTTGAAAATGTTATTTAAACAATACAAGGCCTCATGTGTGTTTGTGTGTGTTGGCAGGTGGACAGCGACACCATTTGGAATGAAGTCCATTCATCCAGCGCAGCGCGTCTGGCTGTTGGCTCTGTGGTGGAGCTCGTCTTCAAAGTAGCATCGGGAGAACTGAAGGTTGGTTTGGATGCTCCGTGGAGTTCGATTAGTCATGGCTGTTTGCAGGGCTGCAGTGTATTTTTAGGCATTGGAGCACTTGTGGCCTTTAGGAGCGGGTAAATGTGCGTTAACCTTTAAATGCTATGTAACTCAAATGGACTCTGCAGTATAATTGGTCCCCTCCAACTTCGAGGGGTTTGATTTTAATATCCTTGTTAAGGTCTTACTGCTCTAGTCGATTTTCCACCTGAGTTCCAGTCACATAGGCTTACAGACAGAACAAGGCCCAGCGCAAAGAGAGCACTATATCAGGTCACCTCTAGTAATGTGCTATCCGGCCGTACTTCCAGACACCTTAAAAAAAAAAAAAAAAAAAAACAAGGAAAAAGTTCCAGAACCAACTTTCGCACCTCCCAGACAGACATCCCCACCCCATCACGCCTCTCCCCATCCCAGCCAGACTCGTGCGTCTGTGGCGGTGGCGGCTTGCTGTTTGAACCCAGCAGGGAGACCCGGTGCACACGCACCGCAAGCGCCAGCACTCCCCATTAATAGGCCCCCTTTAGAAGTGTTGCACCAAAGCCACCTGCAGACCAGGTTAGCGTTAGCTTTGCACCAGTATAGCACACTATCTCGTGACGTTCTTCAGCAAGAAACAGTAGCACACCATGCTGATACCCAGCTGAGTTTTGGGTGGGGTTGCTAGCATCCTGCCATCATGTTGAGTGGGCATGAGTGATTGTGCATCACTTTGCACAAGTAACAACAACACAGTTTAGTTTGAGTGATTTCCTGCTTAAAGGTTGCTGGTATTGACTTACCCTCAAATTAATGCTTGTATACACATGCACACACACACACACACACACCTACACACACACACGCACGCATGCTTACACACATGCAGACGGTTCTCCGAGGATCCTTCATGGCCAAATGACCAAATTCCACCTGCACCAACAACTCTATGAACTCCACAGAAAGCCATAAATCTACTTAAGGCACACATTCACACTCCCTCTCTCTCTCTCTCTCACACACACACACACACACACACACACACACACACACACACACACACACACACACACACTCTTCTGTCTCTGCGGCTGCTACTTTCTGTTTCCCCCCACGTCTGTTTTAATTTAATTACTTTTTTCTTTGTATAGAGAAACTTCACTCGCTCACATACATATGGTACCGTACAGAGTTCTTTAACCGTGTGTGGGGAAACCAGTAGAGGCAGTTGTCGCTACAGTAATCTTCCGGCTGGCTGCTAATCCGCTGCAGCTGACTCAACATCATTAGTCCAGTTTGCAATCGCTCTACATAAGCTCAAACATCTATCTAATGTCCCCACATTGCGCTGGGACCCTCCAAAAACAATTGCTTGGAGTCCTGCCTTGACAAAGCTCGCCTTAACAGACTCATTGTTCCCGTGAGGACACGCATGCACTTTCAGTGGGAGAAGCTAACATCTGTATTCTTTAGAATACAGAAATAGATTTTAATACTTCTGAATGTATTTGTGTTCTTTCTGTTCATCGACACATTACTCGTCCTTACGGGGTAAATAGCGATGCTGGGAAAATAATGTGTTCGTTGTTATAGTCCAGTTGTGTTAGCATGCTTTTTAGGTTCATTTGTGATGAGTTGGCTTTAAGTATGAATGTGAGAGTGTGTGGTTATGCGTCACTCTGTGTTAGCCCTGTGATGGATTGGACACCTGTCCAGGGGACCACACGAGGGGCTAATTCAGCCTGTGTAGGCCCACTATCCCAAGCCCCCACGTTAAATAAGCAATTAAGAAACTGTCCAAGCGCAGTCTTTATGGATTTCCATGTGTGGGTTTTTGCATGCAGCAGTGGATTTGTGAAACTATTTTTTACTAGTCTTTTAAATGAAGTGAGCAGGCGTGTCATCTGTGATCTGTTTTTGCCGACAGAATGGCTTCGCTATCGTTCGACCCCCTGGACACCACGCTGAGGAGAGCACACCTATGTAAGTAATCCACACCTCATCTTACAAAGCTGTTTTCCTCTTACTTTAGTGTTTCTGTACTTTTTATACAGCACTTACTGCATGATGCAAATAATATTGCTTAAGCATGAGTATAAAATTTAAAATGTCATCATTTTGTTGCTGTCTTCTTCTCTTTTTTTTATTTTTTATTTTTTGTTCAATCCTCAGGGGTTTCTGTTATTTTAACTCAGTCGCCATAGCAGCCAAGCTCCTGCAGCAGAGGCTCAATGTCAGTAAAATCCTCATCGTAGACTGGGTGAGTTTCTCAGTGGGATGTTTGTTACATGACAGCATACCTGTATGCACAGGTACAATATTAGACACAATGTGGCTCAAGGTTCTTGCATGGTAGACGTCTGCTCTCACTTGAAGGACAAAGAGTTGAGAGAGAAACTGATAACGTGGGCTAGCTACTCTTTGTTTCTCTTTATGCTCGTGTTGCATCCCAGAATAATCCCTTCTGCATAACTACTTTAAAATAATTTTTTACACCATAAAGTGTGAAAGAAAGAGACTGTCAGCTGACAAAGGCACAAACGTCTCACTAACTTCTATTAACAAAGAAAAGAAAATAGCTGCTAGATTTATGAGGCAGTAAAAATATAAAAATCCTCATTATGTTATCTGTTCCACTTGTTTTTAAATTGCGACGGGCTATGAACAGAGCAGCCGCAAACTGACCTCTTGTCTGGCTATTTGGGTCAGATATTATCCCTTTTTTCTTCACAGAGAAAAAAATAAAATTTATAAGAAGGTATGACGGAGCCTTTGTCGTGTCCAGGAGCGGTGCTGTTCAGTGGCATCCCTGGCTGGTCACGGCCATTCCCCAAAGCCTTTGAAGGGCCTTTTAATTTCCTCTCTGTCTGTCACAGGGGGACGCTGAGTGCAGGCTCATTGTCATGGCACTCGCCTCCAGCCGCCGGGACATTTTTAGAAATTGTGTACTGTAGCATTCATAGACATAGACAATGAAGTCATTTATAACTGACGCTTTTGGCAAAAGTGAGCAGCTGTTGAAGTCGAGTGTTTTACTGAATCACGCTGAATCCTTTTGTGACATCGCAACAGGCTGGAAGGAGATGATATAGTCTGGCAGTATAGGACTCTCTCTCTGCATCAGTCAGCTGGTCCAAGTGGAGGTGCAGAGCTTGATGGTCCCGTTTCTGTGAATCTCATTAATTTCCTCAAACCTATTCATCATAATCCATCTTAATGACGAGGCAGTCTCTATGTGCCCCTGGTATTTGGTTTTTCTTTGACCGAAGAGATTTAAAGGATAATTACACTGAAAATATTATTATATGCTTATTTTTTAATAACAATATGCCCATTATAATCTTTCCAGGATGTCCACCATGGCAATGGCACCCAGCAGGCCTTCTACGCTGACCCCAGTGTCCTTTACCTGTCCCTGCATCGTTACGATGATGGGAATTTCTTCCCGGGAAGTGGCGCACCCGATGAGGTAAAGACGACGAATGCTTTTAATAAACCTTTCAGACCCAGCCTTCGGTCAGCCCACACATAACAAACCCAGTCACGTGTGTTTGTGCTTCCTAGGTGGGCAGTGGAGCAGGTGAAGGTTTTAACGTGAACATGGCCTTTACTGGGGGACTGGACCCTCCTATGGGGGATGCAGAGTATCTAGCTGCATTCAGGTAAGACAGTGATGTCACTCACTGCAGTCTAACTCTTCCTGTCATAGCCTTGGAGTATGAAGTACAGTGTGTAACAAATTACCTGTTGGTAGCTGTTAAGAACTTATGGTGCTCACCCTTATCCCATCTGATTCCCGTTAGGCGCGCTCCTATAACTATACATAAGCTTCCACAGATACAGGCATGCACTCGGTGCAGACATGTACCTGTCTCTCATACATTTTTAGTTCACACAGCTGGAAAGGAGAAGGCCTGGATTGGTTCCAGCGCTCTTTGAAGATGAGTCCATGTTTGCAACTGTCTGTCCATCTGGCCCGAGCCCGACACATCAAACCAACAGGCCACTGGCTCATCGCGGCTTTAGGCACGCAATCCCCCGGAAGTACACCTTAGCTTCTTAATGCACCCCAGAACCCAGGGTGCTCTCGCTCCCCATCTCTCTCCTTTGTATTCTTCTCTCTCCTCCTCATCCTCCTCTTTCTACCCTGCTCTTTGCATCTGCGTTGATGACAGCCACGTAATGTATGTCATACTGCAGCTATTACTTATAATCTATGACTGAAGTCAGTAGCTGCTGCCTCATTCTCATTCCCTCTACCATCATAGACGTGCTACTCTCAGGAATTTATAAATAAATAAAACCACAAAAAGAGACTAGTAACCGTGCTCTGTATTAAATCACCTTTTAAATGTTAATGACTGTGTTGACAGTTGAGATGAATATAACTGAGAGCTCTCCAATACTAACAGCACAAGAGACCATTAGGAAGACCTTAAATTACTAAGTTATTACTTTTGTAACTCTGTATTTACATGTTTATTTGCGTTAGGAGGGGAAAAAATTAACCCTGCACACTCATTTCAAGTTTTAGAAATTCTTGAATAGTTCCAAAAATATAATCATGAAAACACAGTTAACTGAACCAAAGGGAACTTTCACTCAAACTCTGGCTTCCTGTGATTAAGAATTTGCCTCAGAAAAGAGAGTTCACGCTTTTTTTTTCTCATTTACAATTATTTAATATTTAATTTTACACTCTTAACGCACACTGGACTAAAAGTGTTGCTGTCATCTGGATCAACTTTTCTTATGCCCTTGTTTTGTGTGCGTTTGTCCTGGAGTGATGAACACAGATACGTGCATTTGCATATCAGCCTGTGCATGCTGAGGTTGTTAATGCGATTGCGATTCAGCCTTCTTTGCGTGAGGCAGAATAGGAGCTTGGTGTTCATGAACCTCAGGTCGTGTCACCATTAATTCCCAGAGGCTCCAGAGGTATTGGACAATTTATATGCCCCACGGGGGCAAACCTGTGCGCAGGTCATAGATCTGTCACAAATGCACGCACACACACACGCATGCATGCACTCATTGTCAAACAAATACATGCAGATTTAAATTTGCATGATTGTGTGCAAAATGTGCACAGTGCAACAGATGTGCAAATGCACACCTTTCATATCTCTTTGCTCACACATCTACAACCCAAAATAAACACCTGGTGAACACAGTTGCTCTTTCACTCTTATTACTTGTGTGTTTTGGTCTTTTCCTTCCTCTCTCTGTCTTGAGGAGGGGATGCGTGCCTTGCAGCCAGTACCTTCCCATTCCTCCTCTGGCCTGTGCCACGTTGCATTTGCAGGGGATCAAGTCTGAGCCTCCAGAAAGCACAGAGAAAAAAGATAAGAAAATTGGCCCTAATGAAAACCAGAAGCACCGTCTCTTTCCCCGTCTCTCTCTCTCTCTTCCTCTCTCACCCCCATCCCACCCACCCCCCTCTTTTTGCCATGAACTTGGAAAGACGAGAGAGGAGGAGAATTAAATTTAATTCAAACCAGCTCTCCGCAGAGCCAGATGACAGGGCTTTGAAGTGTAAGTGTGCGTGTGTGAGTTTTTCGCTCTCTTATTCTCCCTCTTCTCCTGCTCTCCTGTTCATTTTTTATGAACGAAGGGGGGAAGCCTGCAGTTTAACCTTTTGTTTGCTGGTTTGACAAGTGCTGCTCCCTCTGAAGGATCTTTCTTTCCTTTTTTTTCCCCCCATGAGAATGAATTTCTCTGAGCTTTAAAGCTTACAAATATCTAATTTGGTGGCATTTTCATCTAGACCAGAGCCAGTCATCCTATACAAAATGATAGGATAGTAATACTTTTTTTTAAATATATTCTGTACATGACAGTACTGCTTTTCATGTTAAAAAGCTGAAGTACATGGGATCACAGGGCATAATCAAGATCTGGCAATGTATAAATTCAGGACTAGATTAATTACATACAGATGTGTAGTCCAGAGAGAGGAAGTTTTTCTTGGCTCAAAAAAATGACAGCTATGCCGAGACCTATTGCCGCGTTAACTTTTTCGAGTGTGCACACTTGATATCATGTTGGGTGACATGTGCCAAATACTAAAAGTGCTCACTGGAATCAGACAAGGAGAAATTACTTGGAGCAGAGTAAATGAAAAAGAGTGTGCATTATAAGGTTGTCTTTTAAAGCGGTGCCAATCGAAGATATGTGTTCGCCTCCACAGATTTTACGCATGGAGATCTGTTCATACAGCTGAGGGAATGCTCCTCACTCTGTGGACAGGAGCTCCTTCTCTCTGAAAAGACTGAGAAAATACCCCCAGTGATGTCACCAGGCTTATTCTGGCTTGCAGAAACAGGAAGTGTAGGATTCGTTGTTTTCCCGAGCTCTGCTGCATCTATTTTGAGTATTCTTATTAAAGCCATCTCATAGCTGAAGTGCAACAGCCATTCAGCATTCCTTTGTGCTCTCTGTGCATGCAGACTCAGCTGCACCTGTTGCTAGGTAAGCCAAACAATGCTAAACAAAAGTTTAGACCACATAGCTGTCAAGTAATTGCATTTGTAGTTAAATGTAACTGGGAGACAGCCAGCAGTGGTTTAGATTTCAGCCTCTTTGGTCAGGATGTCCCATCGCTTACGGCTCAGTCGTAAACTCTCCCCTCCCTTAATTAACAAAAAGTCTTTTTCATCTCAGCGTGCATAGCCTCTGATTCACGCACAATTAGCCCTTCTCAAAACCACTTACTTCCCTCTCTGCCAGCCTGGTAATTGATCACTGCGGCTTTTTATTTGTTTAAATGTCAGGATATTATTCCAGTGGGGTGGGGTGTGGAACTGTCGACACCAGCAGTTTTCAGCATTGTGACCAGAACTAGTTGCTGTTTGTATTCAAGGTTGGAGGGGAGAGGGTGGAGGAGCCCTTGGTGGTTGAGGCATATCCTCGGCAGTCAAGGTTTCCCACCAAGTCGTGTGTCAGGCCACATAAGCGTCTGTGGCAGGCTTCTTTTAGTGTGGGGTCTTTATGGCCCCCAAATGTTAATGGGCCAAGGCTGTATGCTTAAATAAATGTAGCAGTTAGTCAGAGGGTTTAGCAGAAGTCCTTTTTAATTTAACATAAATCCAAACATAATTATCTGTGTTGCTCGTGTTCACGTTTGTGTTGTTTACGGCTGTCTGACTTGAAGTATATGAAAGGCTGGAAAACAGCAAAAAAAAGATGCAGTATGTCACGTCTTTCGCCTCATTCATCCACTTTTCATTTATGTCTTTACTCGATTAAGTTCACTTTGTTTTTCATCCTATTCGGCCTGACGTTTTCATCTGAAACGCTGCCACCTGCACGATAGCGCACAGTGACGCTCACACTCTGCGTATACTTACTGTCTGGGACTCCCAAAAACCTCCCAGTGCTACCTCCCACCTCTCCCTCAGACAGCTGTGTGTATGTAGGAGTGTTGTGTTGTGGTGGGGGGTGGGGTGTGCACAGCTAAGGGTTATAATTTGGTGGTGAGCAAGAGATGGAAAAACCTGCGGCCTACGGAGCTCAGGGCACGCTGTTCACCCACAGCTGGCAAACCAACACCGTGTTCCTGAGGTCGGCAAAGTACAGGGGACCTACAACGAAACCCTGTGGTACTCCATCAGTCACAGACCTCACTAAAACGCTACTTGCCCAAATATCCCAGGCCCCAGAAAAATTGTTGTGCCATGCCAGAGGTTCCACAGCGAATGACAGAGACACTTGTTTTGCCATCTGGGAAGTCCTATTTATGAACTCAGTTAGACATTGTAAATTATGCTAAACCAGAATGTCACATGATACGTCTGTGCCCCTCCTGTCATTACTACTTCAAGGATTGATTATTACAGGTTCATAACTTATGGAAACCCCATAAACATCTAAAGTTTTCACTTCTTAAAAGTTGTGTTATTGTTATTTTGTGATAGGACGACAAAAAAAGTTAAATATAAACAGCTCTAATCTTATTTTATCTAATCTGCTTGGTCAAAAACCCTTTCTTCAAAACAAGGTCATCCTATAAACCGACTGGATTTTCCAGCCACAGCTTGCAGTGAATCATTCCGCACTATTCCACTGTTGATTTGATTTCTGTGTATGATACATTGCACACAAGCAGTCAGATGAAGGTTGTACACAAGCAGCCCTCATTCACCACACCCATCCAGTCTTAGTTATCCTCCGTACTTAACACGCATACACATATGCAATTATATCTGTCCTTCCGTTTTTCCTTTTTACTTAAGGTTCATGCGGTGCATTGCACTAAATTTCCAAAACTTCCACTTCAAACATTTATGTGGCAGTTTTCCTTACCACACACATACTGTACAAACAAACTGATTAGTTGGATGTTTGCTTTGAAAACCATGAAATGGAGAAAAATGCCCGTTTAGAATTTTTTTTTTTTAAAAATACTGCAATTCATTGACAGTGCGAGTGAATTGTAGCATCCTCAGAGTGGAAGAAAGCAACATCACGAAGGCACTAAGAACACTGAAGCCATTTCTTAGTATATTTATTTTATAGCAGTCCTTGTTACTCTTCTTTTAGCCATCAGAGCTAACACAATACTGATGCAAAGCCATATAGCAGTCCATATATGCCTAAAGACGATGGCAGTTATTAACATAGTTTTCAGCAGCTCCACGTACTATTATCATCACTTTGTCCTTCAGATCAGTCCATCGATCTCAAAGCAGAGGTCAAATCTGACATGATACTTTAAGTCTATATATGGTACTTTCTATAAGCTGCCAATTTATAATAATTTTCAAACAATAAATCATCAAGTTAACCTTGAAGACCTTGGTAGATCTAACCCAAATTTTAATGGATTATAAACATGACTACAAAGTTCAACCTTCCGAGCTATCGTGTTTAATAACCTTGGCTGAGGTAATGGTTATTTGGTATTTATAAGTCTGTCAGACCTGAGTTTGTTGATGGGAGCACTTTGGTTTTTGTGCTTCTTTAATGTCCACGTATGCTTTGTTGTGAGTTCCTTATCCTTTGACACAGTTTCATGTATTGGAAATATGGCAGTGGGAAAAACGAACTGTTTATATTCACATGGGACAGCTTCTAATAGCGTTATAATTTAATCTTGAAATCTCAGGCTTGGTGGTTTTGATTCTCCTTTTGGTGGTTTGAGCTGCATTTCTTTCTAATCTAAAGTATTTGCTGTATTTAATGCATTTTTTAAAAAAAATACATGTTTCATGCAGTAAGAGCAGCCCGGTCACCCTGTCATTTAGATCAAATATTAACCATATGTGGCAGTTCAAGAATATCCGGTTGCAAGAATGCCAGTGAAATGTAGTGTGACACTTTTTATAGCCTTGCTTGAAAAATATAATATAATAGTGAGAATTTTCCACAAGGCTGTGTGACAAAATCTAACCTCACTTATCGCCAAGATTTTGTGATGTTTTTGAGAAACACTAGACTTTAAAATTACTTTTGGTTTCTGGCCTTCCTGTGTGGGGCAGCAAGCCAAATAAGAAGCATGCATGCAGATGCTGATGTGTAAGGTCGAAATATAGACATCAGAAGCTGAAAACCTTTGACTGACTGAGATTTAACTAAAGTGTTTTTACGGATACATTACGTTGCCTATTGTTTCTCCAGGACGGTGGTCATGCCTATTGCCAATGAGTTTGCGCCTGATATGGTTCTGGTATCTTCTGGCTTTGATGCAGTAGATGGACATGCCCCACCGCTGGGAGGATACAAACTGACAGCCAAATGTAAGTGCTGATTCAAACTGTCCATTTCATTTCTTCTAAATCAGTTTTTTCTTTTTCCTATGAGCTGAATCATATATGCACATCTTAAGGCGTGCACCACGTCACTCGTGGCGTATGCTGTGTGATGCTACACTGCTTTCAATGCTAGGAAAGACTCAAAAACATAAACTCGCCCCTTTTGTGTGCAGTGTGCATATCTGACTTACATATTCAGATAGAGACCCTGGCGTGACAGCAAAGAGCTTTTCTAAAACCATCCAGCAGATCTCAAATAAGAGCTAGGGGTCCTTGTTGTCAAAGAGGGGGGGTTATGGGTGGGTTAAAGAGGATTGCAGGAAGAGGGGATATGGTCGAATTTAGGGGGACTAAAGTATGGCTGAATACATATATAAGAACGCCCCTCATCCTGAGAGGAAAAACATCAAAGGCTGTGACCAAGACTAAACGCAAAGCCACATTTATTAAAATTAAACCTGGCTTATATTAGGGCTTGTTTTTTGCCCCCCAGTAAATCCACAGTGCACTCGCTTTCTCTTTTCCTCTGTGATGCATTCACCCCTTCCTTCATCCACGCTCCAGCCGCTTTTTTTTTTCTTTGATCAATATCCAGAAAGGAAGTTAGAGGCTGAATACCATTTCATTCTTCTTCTTTCTTTCTTTTCCTGCTCTTTCTCTCTCCCTCCCTTTGCCATTTCTGCTGTGATTTCCTGTCTGTCCAGGCTTTGGCTACCTGACCAGGCAGCTGATGGGTCTGGCAGGCGGTCGGCTGGTGCTTGCCTTGGAGGGGGGTCACGACCTCACAGCCATATGTGATGCCTCTGAAGCCTGCATCTCTGCTCTGCTTGGCAATGAGGTAAGATGTGCAGAGAGAGAAGGAGAGAATACTTTAAATATTTGTCAAGTATTGTCAAACTGTTCTTGATCAGCACATTAAAGATGACTGTTTGCCTGTGTCAGCTGATATGTGATGATATGTGAGCACTCATATAATTCTTGCACTGGAGTTTGAGCTCCAGTGCAAGTAGGCGGTTCAGTAACACTGCAGACTTTTTGTGTACACTTTAAATGAATGACGCTAAAACAAAAAGTGTTACAAATGAATCACTGAGCGATGATTTCGGTTCTTGATTTGCTGTTACAATGTTTTAGGATTCAATATTTAAGTGTTTGTCATGTATTTTCTTACATCGCACATAACAGCAGTGTTTTGGTTCATAGTCCCTGCTGAAGGATGAACCTGTTTTCAAAAATATTTTATTACTACACCACAAGTTTGTACAATTCTGCAACAACAGCAGGCTGATTTTTATTTTTAACTCATCCAAGCCCAAGCTCTTCACATTTTCTTCATCTACCCCACCACTCAGACAGGAAGTGAGCACCAAACACACACACATACGTCAGAGGGAGGATTTCCAGGCAGAAGGTTAATTGTAGAGTGTGTAGGTTGTGGAGTGGAGCAGCTCTGTGATTCATGGCTACCCACAGATTTCTTCTAGCTGGCGTCTGATTCATTGCAAAGGAACCAGCGAACTGCGGTTTCAAGTGGAGATTCTTGAGAGACACTTTACATCGAGGATTAATATCCAGACTGACATATATTAACATTTATTTTAAAAATGGAACAATCTAAACTGGAGTCTTTGCCACACGCACAGGCTCAGATCGTTGTCATTGGAGTCGTTTCTGTTCCTGCTAAAACCATCATCTTCTGCAGTTCTGCAGTATAGAGCACCTTGAAATACAAATACATCATACCATGTGATGTAACAGTGTATTGATGCAGTGTTATTAACATTTTCCTCGGGACACTTTAATGCAAAATACTAAAAAGCAATAATAATTAAAAATGTACTTTTATTTTAAAAACTCTAAACAAAGCCTGCATGAAAAACAAAATAAAAATGGCGTTTCTAAAAAGAATCGTAAAGTGCATCGTGAGCACGCTGACGATGTTTTAACCGCTGACTAAACAGATCAAAGAAAGCGTCCAGCTCATGGGAAATGGCTAAACTTGGAGGCTAAATGTAATAACCTGCCTCTCTGTACCTGCATTTTGCCCACCAATGACTTGAAGCTGCAGTACATAGCACTGCCATTACATCTGTTAAAGCTTCAGGAATTCAAGGACACTTCAGAAGGGCGGATGCTTTTTGCTGTCACGAAGGTTTGTGCTCATGACTTCCAGCTTGAAGGACACTTTCGTTACTCACAGTACCGCCCTGAAGCAAAAATAATATTTTAGGCCAGGGGCTTTGCTTCTAAGGTTTCAGCCGCCCTGTAGAGCACCAGTCTCAGCAGGGGTTTGGAGGAGGTACCTGGACGAGTGCCATGGGGAGCTGAAAATTCGAAAATAGGCAGGAGGCAGGGAGCGTCAATTGCCTCGGCTCTGCAGGGCATCCCTCTCACCCGGGGCCCTGTCATTGATACACATCTGAAAGTGGTTACCCTCACACCTCTGCAAGCAGGGTCAGCCTTGGTCTTGGAATCCGATAATAAAAGGAAATGGAGCAATCATTTGAAGTCGGGAGGGAGGAAGCTATTGTTATTAAGACGTGTGTAAGTATTGTTGTACCTGTGCAGGTCTTCAGAGTCTTTTTCAATAAACCTGGCCACTATACACAAGTCCCAACAACTTGGCTTCATCTTTAATTTAAAAAACAAAATCTTGAATAATGATTTTAAATATATATATATATATATAGATATATGGCAGGAGCCTGACAGGACATGTTGTACAGAAGGCCTTACTGGCATGTGTTGAATGGGCAGACTGGTTTGAGTAAAGTTGTGAAGAACACAATGATGTTTTTCCCTTTCAAAGATAGAACTAGAGTTTGCATGACCTGCTCCGGCTGGCTCTTTGGCAGCAAGTGATGTCAGCTGTTTGAACAAAGGCAGATCACACAGTTGTTTGGTGCTTTGATAGCTGATAGCAAAGAAGAAAAAGTAGACTAAAATGTCCCTGATCGGATCAAAACAGCAGGAAGCAAGTGTTTCTAACGTAATCTCAGCAAACGTTTCTGTAATGGACAAGGAATGTTGATGGAAAACGTCAGTGGGGGATGGAGCTGGAGGGAAAGGATGGTGGCCTGTTTTCTTGTTTTGTTTTTCTGTCCTGGTAATGGCAAAAACAAAGTTTAGGAACAGTGAAGCCTTGCCAACCTTTGGGTCCAAGGCCAGCTGGGCATCAAATGAATAACAGTCAGAATAAATCCTTTTTTTTTGAATGACTGAGTACTTTCGTTCTCTTTCTTTGAGACTGTTTCAGTTTGTGCATGTGTGCGTGTTGGAGGGGTGGACTGAGGCATACGATCACTGCTGGTCAGCTGTGCATTTGTTTATGTTGCTTCGAGCTGCCTGGGGAGGGCGAGGGGTTTGTCTGCAGGTATCATGAACCCAATGCACGACTATAACTGAAACACTGTTCATGCTGTTGGTGCTCTTTAGTTGACCATCATGGACTGGGAGGTAATGCGCAGGTACTGCAAAAGACTCTGTATGTTATACATCATCTTCTCTTCCCCTGTGTCTCGTACTTTCTGTGTTTTACTCGAACTTGTGTGAGAGTTCTAGCCGTACTTTCTTTGGCAGGTTAAGACAAGCTTTGCTATAATGAGTATTGGGTTTCTTTTGAAAGCAGCTCAAATTAGCTGGTGGGAAGAGTTAGGGAAGAAAATTGCTGAATGGACTTTACAGGCTCTTTTATTCAGTCTCACTGCTGTAATGCATAATGCTGAAGTTTCTCTAGTTAAATAGCTCATGAATAATGCATTGGCAACTCCACTAGTCAACTCTGAACTCTGGACTAATTGATGATTGCTCACAAACAGATGTTGGCCCAGCTCGAACCACGGTTGTTAGCAATTATTTGATAAACAACTGGCTAATATGCTAATTGTTACCAGCTGTCAATGAGGTTATTTTGTGCGTTTACACTCCAGTTACAGTAAGACGCTCGACTTCACCTGTCCCCCTCTTTGGATCTGACTGTTCCCCCACTAGAGCAAGGCTAACCCACACCTTTTTTCCAAAAAAGGTGGCCTGCTTTGCACAGTGCACATCATTTCCTTGTTTACTTAGCATAACATAATCAACTGGTTTTAGCGACCGCCGACACATGCACACATACACAACAGTAAACAATGGATGCCTTGTGCACTTTTTCTTTGTTGAACAAGTGGAATTCCTCCTCTTTCCACTGTTTTGGTTTCAGCCTCTCTTAGGAATGTTTTTACCGGGCCACGTTCCTTTCGCTCAGCTCATGGCTTTCCATGGTGTCTCAGTTCCTTTGGGCAGGAGTTTTTGTATTTTGGACCGCTGTGTCACAGAGCGATGCAGACCTCCTCAGAGATTATTCAAACCATCATTCTCTCGCACTTATCTATCAAAGACTGCGACACATTTATAATGACACCAAGATCCAGACATCCGGCCAAGGCCAGTACCACCAACTCAAATAAGCAGAAATACCATCACAGAGGATGTCCTGGAGAAAGTTGGGCTTGTGTTAGAGTATGCTTGCATATCTGTATGTGTGTGTATATGTGCGTTTGCCACACCTGCTGGGTGGGGCCCCTGGACTACCCTGACAAGAGCCATTAAAGTTTATAAGCGTGAGGCCCAGCTGTCAATCAAGCTGACAGACTGCCCCTATCCAACTCTGCTCTGACGTGAACCTCACGAAACCCCAGAGAACCCCTGACCTCGCTCTGACAGGGAGCTGACGCACGCTGGATTTGCACGGGCTGGGTAGTTCTGGGCTGCAACTGGCTTGGGTTATGGTGGGTAGATGGTGGCTGTAGCCTGGAGGTTGGAGGAGTTAGTTTTGACTAAAAGATTAATGATTTCAGTCTACAGACTTGGAAATTTTGAGATGGGATAATAAGCACTGCTGTTTCCTTCTCTGCCACAACTAAAGTAATGTTACACCACTTTTAAGGAGCAGAGCTGCATACGACTCGGGTCATTTCATGTGCTTCTCTCCCTCGTTTCTTTGTCCAGTCAGTTAAATGACATTTGAAATTACAGTATCACATAAATGTGATTTCATTTCTGTGAAATGGCAACACCAGAGAAAAAATCCAGACATTTATTCCGAGTTCAGCTCTGCTGAAGAGGCGGGATATGAAGGAGAGCCGGCTGACACGGGTTGACGCGTACATCATTGCCAGACTAAATGCGGCGCTGAAGAACCGAACCTTCTGCGGTAATTGAACTCCATGGCTGTCGATTATTGAGTGCAGCAGCTCGTTCTCGTAGCTGGGCCTCACTGCTGTACCTATAACGGCAGCGAGGCAGATCTGTCACTGAATCTTAGGTTAGTGTTGAGGAAAGGTGTATTTTAACCCTAAATTGAAGCAAGCCGTGAATTAAAATGAAATAAGAAGTGAACGGAAAGGAAACAAAGAGGTGACTGAAAACCATCAGCAAGGTCCCGAACGGCCCTTTGGTCCGTTGAGGGTTTTGTTTGGATTTAAACAGTATGGAAAAGTAAGGCCGGCTTTGACTTATTACATAGATAAATAGTTGGAGTTGATGGACGGTCATTAAGCTTTAGGAAGCTTAATGACCGTCCATTGTTACTGTATGTTACTCTGGATGAAAGTGTTGGCCAAATATTAAATAGGCCAATGAAAATATTGTGCTAAAACTGTGTGCGCGCGCGTGTGTGTGTGCGCGCGCGCGTGTGTGTGTGCGACCTCTGTCCATTCTTCATTGCATGATGTAGCCTGTCGTGCCACAGTAGGATTAAAGTATCCCTCTCCCCAGACTGCCTTTTCCCTCTGAACTCCTCCCACACACTATTTGTTTTAATTATAAGAAAACTTCCAGCCTCGGCCAAGCGAGACCAACCGACAATGACTTTTTCCTCTTCTCTCTGGCATTCTGCTCACAAATCTCAGGCCAAACTGTTTTTCTTTCTCTCCGTGTCTCTCTTTACATGATTCTCAGTCAGTGCTTTATTCCGTTGGGGTTATGACTGAGCAGAAAAGGGATGCATGTTGTCTGTGGTGGAATGTGGAGCTGAATGAGCCTATTTGACAAAATGGGATGAGAAAGTGTCGTATGTGCAGTTGGCCAAAAGGGAAATTGAATCATTCGGGGTTGGGAATGCACTTTGGGGAATAGCCCTGTTTTCTGTGTGTTGCGGTTGCAGCTGAGCTCTCTGAGGATTGCATTTTTCGTGCGTGCACGTGTGTGCCAGTGCAAGCGCTTGGGTGAACTGGCAGTTTCTGCTTTAATGCATCTGTTGCACTAGCATGTGTCCTCGGAGTGGGACGCTGTACAAAGCACGCATTGTCGATTGTGTCAAAGAGTAGCAGAGCTGCCGATGAGTGGGAGGTGGTGTGCATCTGCAGGCCTATTTTCTATTGTGTCAGCAGCTCAAACTTGCTCCCCACCTCTTGGATTGACTCAACTGTGGGCCGTGGGCCACGATCAAAAACGATCCCTTAAACCTGGAGGGACTCGCATTAGTTCAAGGGAAGTTTTGGAGGGAGGCTTCTGAACAGCTGTCAGTCACATTTATAGAAAGGCCTATCTCGCCATATGCAACTCACCAGAAGAAACGCTGTGATACATTTAAAGCGCTTAACCGATGTTCCCAGTAGACATAGCTTCATCGCCAAGTTAGAGCAGTTTTATTTCAGCAAAGGTGCCATAAGTAGTCTGACAGATGACTCTTCTGATGGTTCAGCGCTGATACTGTAAAAATGTGCATGTTTTTCTTTTGATAGACAAAAACATTTCATGCTTAATTTTTCTATCGTTTTCTGTTCCTTTCAGTTGGACCCCATTCCCGATGAGGTGCTGCAGCAGAGACCAAATGCGAATGCGGTACGGTCTATGGAGAAAGTAATCGAATTTCACAGTGAGTAGATCTTTTACATTTTTTTCCTGCTGGCATTAGAAATAATAATTAGGTGTAACTAGCTTCCCTAAGGGTAAGTCAGGTAGTTGGTAAGCAAAGCTTCTAAATGCTAAACTTCACATTCAAACCCAGTTAGCGGAACATATTATATCTCTGCACACACTCTATCTGCATTTCGTTATTAGGTAAATACTGGTGCTCACTGCAACGTTCTGCCTCCTCGCTGGGTTATTCTTTGAGTGAGGCCCTCAAGCGTGAAGCAGAGGAAGCTGAAACTGTTTCTGCCATGGCCTCATTGTCTGTTGCAAACAAGCACGTTGGAAAGAGGTAAGTTGATTGTCGTCATTTACAGTCACTGGTTTACATTAGTGTACATTTGGCTCAGGAGGTAAAGCAGGTCATCACGATACCGCAACACCAGAGCCAGAGTTACCCCTGAAGAAGCTTTGCTTGTTTAGAGGGATTGCCAAGAAAAAGCCTAAAGTTAGGTTTACAAAGTTGCTTCTGAACAACAGAAGGTGTTTGCCCATAATGCACTGCACCTTGTTTAATGAAAACAAACACGGCACATCAGCACAAACACCTCACACCAAGTTGTTTTTCAGTCAGAGGACATTGGGAATCTTGTAGTCAGAATTAAATGTGAGGCTACAGTAAAACCTTTGCCCCGACTGGGCCAGGACACAACAATGATCCCAAGCACAATGGGATTGCTGAAAAAGAAAAGAATCAAAGTGCTGCAGTGGCCCAGTCAAAGTCCAAAGTGATTGAAATGCTGCTGTGAGAGATAAATGAATCAATGAATGACTGCGAATCTAAAAAAAACTGAAGCAAAGCTGCAAAGAAGAGTGAGCCAAAATTCCTTCACGATGTGAGAGAAGGAAAAAGTCAAACAAAAAATGATAACTTCTAGTTGTTGCTTCAACACGCTACTGAATCCTGTGAAAACTTTCTTTTACAGGACTCTTTCAATGCAGCCTTTTCCTGCTGTAACATTATATGTTGTATTTGTTGTGAATTAGTTGAAACAGTTTTAAGCATCTGTTACTTCTCCTTTGTTCATAGTGTTATCTTTTTTTCACAGGGCTGAAGAGGAACCGATGGAAGAGGAAGCTCCTATGTAAAGAAACATCCACGACCTTTTTGATCACTCAGACTCGTCTGTGGCATTTTATCGTGACAAAAATGGACCACTGAAGATGAGCGACCCTTTTGCTGATCAGCGGTGCACTGAGCAATCAGCATAAACGCGTTGCATTGCACTTAAAGACTTTTGGATATACGATTGTTTCAGCTATCCCGTAATGACAACCTCCAGTGCCAGTGCTTTTAAAACACTAGACAGACATACTTTTGATTGCCAGTGAGAACCATGCAGAGGACCTACAGTCATCTACTCTTCATGTAATTCTGCTCTGTCCCTGCTTTATCTTCATCTCTTCGCTTTCGTGAAGACCACCATAGCTATTGTGATTGTTACTCTGGACTAAAGATGGGTTCTTGCTCTTTCCAGATATCTAAACGAGAGGGAAAAAACGTCAGTTTTCCATGTTGTTGAAGGTTACAGATGAGAAAGGTCACAAACCTGTTAGAGTAAAAGACATTTGTGCCTTTCCCCCCACCCCGTCTAAACTTGGTGGAATTTTTTTGAACTCCACTGGAAGAGTTTTGCCTTAAAAATAGTTTTGGGACTGAGGCCTCTTCTCCCCAAGCCCTCACACATTTCTATCCTGGCAGGACATCCACTGCCTGCATGTTGTTGGCACATAGACTGAAGGACTTTGGCATGTTTACCTATAATTCCCTGCAACCAGCCTACTGTCTCTGCCCCCACCTTTTCCCCTCATTTTCAGTGTCAGCTTGGAAGGTAGTTCCCAGCCACAAGTTGGAGGTGGCTCCTTTAAAAAGGAAATTAAGAGTTGGAATTGTATCGTTTAATCACATAGGCACCAGTTCTTCTTCGTCAGAGAAAGATATACGTAGCATGCACTTTACTGGAGCACTTGGACTTATGAAAGATAGAATCCTGTTTATATCGTATGTAGTAGTTACATAAAAATGAAGCCAAAGCATGACAGCTTATTGTCTCTGTAGAGTATAACCACTTACCGCCCCACACATATAACAACGACTGAGCAGTGTCGGTATTTACATTAGAATTTGTCTCACTTTTTCAGACATTTGCCGAATGGAAATAAACTAATCTCACATGGGCTCATTTGTTGAACCAGCCCTCTCTTTAAGACAAGGACCATACCACCTGGGATTTTCCAGAGGGGTGTTCTGGAGCTTTCACAGCTGGCCTAACATCTTTCGATCCTTTCGATCAAGAACATCTGCTTTGCAAATGTCAGGTGATACGAGGCAGGTGTGAATGTTTCTGCCTCTTCGTTTTCAATAAAGCACAAACTGTTCTCTCTATATATTTTTAATAGTATGCAAACATTTTTAGGTGTTCTGCATTATAAAATGCAGTCCTCTTTTTGACAGCCCTTGGCTCAAATGCACATATTTGAGCTTTAAATAGCACATGTAGCTCAGCCCGTCCTCCTGGATTCTGAATCGTTTCGTTAGGCCGGGTCTCGTTACTAATCTGAGCATCAAATCTTTTTGAATCAGCATTTTTATATGTTATAATATTTTAGAAGACAAGATGTAAAATTTTCCTGCTCTGACTTTTTTGAAGTCAAGCCCACGATATAGCTCCCAGTCGCTCTGCACCACACACACAGCCAGCAGCTAGGTCGTAGTCGTTTAATTTAATAATTAAACAGTCCCAGTTTAGGACTATAGTGGCCCCTCTGATCAACATGCTAACTTCCTTCCAGCTTGTGTTTGGCCCTCTGGGCAACTACCTTCTGCTGCCTTTATTTGACCTAAAAACTAATCGTGTCTTTAATGTCGTTTTTAAGTGAACAGGAAACGGAGCGCTGTGGTATTTACTGTTATTTACTGTACATAGGACACTGATCTCCTGAGTATTCCTGCCACACACATTCACTATTTTTGTGGTTTGTTTTCCTCTCTTTCGCTTTTTTCTGCTTTTGAGCTCTAGTGACTTATTTTTGTACAATTTTCCTGTTGTTTTGTGCGTGTTGTCCACTCTCTGTTTCTCTGTTATGTTGTAAAGCTGACATACTTCACAGCAGGTGAGGGTTCAGACTCTGTTTTTAGTGGACGTTACATGAGTACGTTTTCTGGGTTCAGGGTTTTTGCGGGAGCGTTGGGATTCAAATGTTTCTACTTTGTATAATGATGGACAATTGTGTATTTACTGTCTGTTCATAGTAGATTTATATATAAAAAGAAATGAGTATATTATATATCTATACATTACAAAATGCTACGATCTTGTTTTTGAAGTTGGTATTGAAAAACAATACTTTCCTTGGTCTTAGTTACAGTTGGCCCTTTTTAGGGTGTTACTGAAGGCACCTTCTGCTGTTGATCATGTGTTGAGCAGCATCTGTCTGGCTGTTTTTTGTCTCTCAGCAGTAATGACTTTTTTGTTGTCTGTTTTGTTTATTTCATTAGTTACCCCATTGGTACCATAACACTGTTACAGTAGGTGTGCAGTCGCCCTCTGCTCAGCCTTGCATTTTAATGCACATATTTGTCAGATTCCATACCTTTTCTTTCTCGTGCAGATGTTCTTGCACGCATATCTTGCCTGGCATCTGTTAAGTTTCAGTATTTCAAGAAATTTGAGTCTTTTTTTTGTTCCTCTTTGTTAAAGATTATCATCTGACGTATTTGAAAGAATAGGAAGAATAGCGAGGGCGGATTAGAATTGGAACACAGCCATTGCTTTTTCCCCCTGTGTTAAATCACCACGACGGGCCTTGCAAATGGTTTTGTATGATCAACGTTTATTTCCTTATCAGGCCAAGTATGCTTAGTTTTTAATTTAAATTAACATTTTTCAAGTTCACAGCTGAAGTCTCATCAGCTTTGGTATGCAAGTTATGTTTCTGTATCTAAAAAACGCAGTTTGATCACAGTAACAGCCAAGCAGGACCGAGGTATCGATGCCTTAAAAAAAAAAAACAGGAAAAAACACGTTTGATTTTCTTTTTGGGGGGGGAATTTCAATCAGACGTACAAGAAATAAATTTGCTTATTTTAACTGAATGTATCTAGCAGAGATCTTCCCTCTCCTTACTAATGCACCACTAATGTCTTTAAGTCTCGAATCCTTTCCGTAACTTTTGTAGTTGAGATATGGATATGGTAGATTGTTTCCACCATCATCTTTTTTTAGTAAATTTCTAAAGATAATGTCTATACCAATACAGTTTGCATTAAATCGTGCATAAAGTAAATTCTGCCAAAACAAAACCTCTGGTCTGGTTGCAGCAGGGCATCTTTTATTATCATTTTTTTAGCTTTTTCTGTACATTCCCTTTTTGTGAGACACACATTGTTTTCTTCTCCTTTGTAGATGTTGGCCAGCTTCTTTGTGTGTGTGATACTTGCGTACTTTCATAGTCGGGATATGAAAATGCATATAATCGGGCTATCCTGAATATGACCTCAGCTGGGATATGCTGACATCTCGGCTCATTTTAACACACTTGAAGAGATGCCTTTCAGTAACCCAGCCCAGAACATTCCCAGAACCTTTGCACAACAGTGCCAGTCATGGCTTTTCTTCTGTTTAATGCTTTCGTTTCTCAAACGCTGCCAAAACTAGCACTGTCTGGCTACTCTGGCCATCTGTCTTCACTGTTAGTCTTAAAACAATGTCCAGTAACCAAAAAGAAAAAAGCAGCATTCCATTTTGGTGTAATTTCCATTTATTATAAGGTAAATCTTTTTTTTTTTTAACCCTCGCAGGTCTGAGAGCTGTCTTGTTTCTGTAGATGCCCCGGTCTGACCCCACGCAGCTCCTCCTCTTTTCTCCCTGCATGATCCGTCTGTCTGCATGCATTACCTGTCTGTCTGTCCCCTGCCACACACCAGCACAAGGGATCAAGCACTGAAGGACTTTCACTGTATCCAAACTATTTTTATCTCTTTGCTTCTCTTTCTGTTTCTAATATGGAGGAATTTGGGTGCTTTCCATGTTGTGCTTTCACCTGTAGCGAACGAATCATCAAACCTGGCAGACTTAAGTTGAATAAGTCACAACAAGAAATAGTATCAAGCACAGACAATAGATTTTATTGTATTTATGTAGAAAATGAATTGTTTGGTGGGATGCTTTGTAAACTATAAGACCGGAATGGACTGTCTTTTTTTTTTTTTTTTCCCAAACCAGGCGAGATGTGACTTTGGAGGATTTTCAGAAGATATTTGTGTTTTCTGTCACGTCTGAACTCATCAAAGGGCTCCATCCAGACGCCAGGTCATTGTTACAGTTGTCCATTCCAGTAAATAAGCCAGTTATCTCTTTGACCACTGTGGTTCAGAAACAAACAGTTCTAGGTTTACATATGTATAAAATGCATATTCTTTTTTTTTTTTATCAGTTATGTTTTTGACTTGTTCCACCATTGTTACAAAAATAGTACATTTTTCTCGGGAACCTTTGCTCTAACATGTTGTCTTTGACATGTACATTATAAAGTATTGTTTTGAAAAAAAAAACCTCAATGTGTGTTTTTATGCTTTTACTGTTTGCTGTAATTTCGAAGAAAAAACATGAAGGCAGTCGTTCAGGATGTGTCCTCATACGCGATAAAAGAAATACTACAGAGATTTAAAGGGATTGCACTTAAAAGTTCGAGTGCAACAGCATATCCGTATCTGCTTCCATCGCTACTTTGCAGCAGTTTGTTGTGGTGGGTAATGGTTGGAGACTAGACAGAGTTTAATCCTGCATAAACATATCATATGATTGCATATGAATGCCACGCTTGGTAAAATTTACAAAAAAGATGGAGCCTGAGAAAGGCTTGTGTTTCTGAGGATATTCTGATGAGGTTGATCTGGCCTTGCAGACATGCAGTTTCCAACTGGCAACTTCCAAGTGAGTCAATACAATAGTTAAAATGTAAATATCAAACTTTACAGCATTAAAAAGCTCACAGGTCCAAGGCTAGTGCAAAAAACTCATCCATCTGGATCTGTTCAAGGTCAAAATCAGGAGGGTGGATGGTTTGACTGAGAGGTGTGCCAACACAGCAGGGTGTAGCTGATGGTTGAATCTGCCAAGCTTCGCCTCCAGTAATTCCAGTCATAGTCAACTGGACCTCATGCTAATATTTATGATGATGGTCCATCCATGCATCCATTTTCTTAACTGGTTATCCAGTCCTGGAGCGTATCCCAGTAGATTCGCCAGTTAAACTAATATGCTTTTGGCCAAATCTCCTGCGACGTATATTGACTGCAGACTGTTTGGTCAGATATTCTGCTCTAACAGAAGCTAAAGGTCCGAAAATCCCCAGATTTGGTTTTTCTTTCAAGCTTGTAATCTTTAATCCAACCAACAGCCCACCAAACAGACTCCGTTTATTTATATTGCACATTTAAACACTACAGACGACGACCAAAGTGCTGCACAAACAAAGTCATCAAAAAAAAGCAAATGATTTAAGACCAAAAAAATTTAAATTAATAAAAATATAAATGATAACAGTAAATAATACAAATTAAAATAATGAGAGTGAAAGATGACACACTAAATTAAAGCTAATCTAAAGCTAAAGAAGCTATCACACTGCACACAGCTCCCTCTGCAGGCACACAAGTTTTTATAAATGTTAACATTCAAAGTTGCGCTCCCCAGTTCCTGCAAACAGCCTTCAGTGTAAAATTGGGGTAGTGTGCCTTTACGTCCAGAGGTGGGCATCATTGGCAAGAACGGCAACAAGGGCCCCACAGTAGCTTTGACCAGGATTAACCACCCATTTGGAGAGGTCAAAGGTCTTAACCAGCGTTGAATCCCTGATGGCGGTGGAACTAACGCTAAGACAACAGTCCAAAAACAAACAAAGCCAATCCCGACTTTCCTCCCCTCAAATAAATATACATCGCTGTGCTTTCGGTCAGAGTCTGAATTCAGTGAGTAACAGTGTAAATAACACCACTGCGGCAGGATTTGTACTCTTGTCAGGTTTGAAGCACCATGCAGTGTAAAAGACAAATGAGAAGACAACATCTGGTTTCTTGAGAAAATGACATTCAGCTGAGGCGTGAGGGACAATATTTACCATCTTAGAGATGCTGAAAAGAGCTCTGAAAGCGCTACTACTAAAAACAACGACAGTAAAGCTGGGAATGTGCTCTTTTATGGTTCCTCTGTGCCTTGAGATGCTCTAATGGCGTGCCTGTGACACACACAGACTGCCCGTCTCACCTTAAGTTCACCGTATTCCCGCTATGCAGTGACACGCAACCCCCGTGGCCTCTAAGTCAGGTCAGGTCAGAGAACGGGTGAAGCCCTGCTAGTTGAACTTTCCCCCCTCCTGAAGCTCAACCCACAAGATGGTTTCTTCTTCCACAACAAAGAACTGAAAAGTCAGAACCCCCCACCCCTTATTTTGTTTCCCTCTCATTTCCCTGCAGTGACATTCTGGTCTGCCGCAGCTTTCTTGCCTTGCTCATCTTCCTCCAGCGTCAGCCGTTATCAGTCAGCTCTGTCATTACCCAGCCGCCCGTATGCGTAAAAAAAGGCCTCATCCTCCCAGCTGTGCTCATCGCCGCACTTTTTAATTGCAGGTTCGAGTGACTCCAAATGGGCGATGAGGCTTTGGCCAGTTGCTTGGATGACATATAAAACTAATTATAGAAGAGAGTCATTAGAATTAAATTTGGATCTTCAGCACACAAACATCAGCTATATTTAACAGGTCCTAACAAACATGTACATTGGGATCACAGAGGCGGTCGAGTAATGTCTGTGAAGTCTTGGAGAAGGAAAGGTCGACAAAATGTTAGACACAAAATCAGAACAAATCCAGCAGTTTCTCTCGACTTGTTCTATTCCAAGCATGACTTTGGAAACAATGGAAATGAACGTGAGGAGCATGTGGCCGTTTGCTGTTCTTTCCATCGGATGTTCCGTCAGTCCGGCTGACACTTCTGATCCATAGTGTATTTGAAAAGCTGTGCAGCATTTGCTTATCTTGCTACTGTGTGTGTTTAGTCTACTGTTCGGTGTGCGCTGACATCAAAAATGGAAGGACACACAGACACACACATGGCTGGAAGGTTCTGCAAACAGAACAACAGTAGGTCACTCTCAGCTTGGGTTTCAGGACTAAGTACGAAGTTCAGTGACGGACAGCAGCACATACTGTACATCCACTGATCAGCCACATTAAAACCACATGCTTAATGTTGTGTAGGTCTGCCTCTTGCCAACAGAACAACCATAAACCCATCTGGGAATTTCCACGGGACCGCTGTGGACGTCCTGCGGTCGTCTATAACAAGAACATTAGCAGTGGATCCTTTGGGTCCTGTGGATTGTCTGATGGAGACTCCGTGGATCAGGCTGTTCCTCCACATCCCACAGATGCTTGATTAGTTTGGTATTTGGGGATTTTGAGGGCCAAATCAATGCCTCGGGCACTGTGGTTTGTTATTCAGCTGTTCCTGAGATGTTGTTGAGGTGTGGCTGAGCACACTGTGGTTCTGGAGGAGGCGAAGGACAATTTAAAACCCTTCTCCTCATATACAGGGTCTTTAATTGTTAGACCCCCATCTCAGTGCATTATCACACCCAAAACAGTATTTTGCACTCAGACTGTGGGCTTACTCGTTGTTCCTAGAGAACTGGAGGCAGAGCCTTCAGCTTTCAGGCATCTCTTCTGTGGAACCAGCTTCCAGTTTGGATTTGGAAGACACCTCCTCTACTTTCAAGATTAGGTTTAAAACTTTCCTTTTTCATAAAGCGTATAGTCAGGGCTGGATCGGGTCACCCTGAACCCTCCCTTAGTTACACCGACTTAGGTCATTGCTGCTGGGGAGTTCCCATGATGCCCTGGTTGTTGCTTCTTCACTCACTGTGTGTTTATACACCTTTCGGCATAATTAGTTATTATTAATCTCTGGCGCTCTTCCACAGCCTGTCTTTGTCCCGTCTCCCTCCCTCCCAACCAGCAGATGGCCCCGCCCCTCCCTGAGCTTGGTTCTGCCGAGGTTAGAACGTGTTGTTCTTCCTGTTAAAAGGAAGTTTTTCCTTCCCACTGTTGCTAGATGCTTGCACATAGGGTTTTTTTTTATTTTTATTGTGCTTGTCTTCTCTGTATAATTGCGGGGTCTTTATCTTACAAAATATAGTAAAGCGCCTTGCAGTGACAGTTGTGACTTGGCCCTATATAAATAAAATTGAATTGAAGTGACTGAGAAAATTGATGCTGTTATTATTATTTACAAATGTTCTCTAGATATGCTACTAATAACATTATTGTCTATTGTTTTTAATTCCACAGTAATCGTAATCATGAATCCAAATGTTGCTTGTTTGAAGCCGTGCCACCAGCGGCGTCTCCAGGTCTTCAGACGGCTTGAACTGTGATGTGGATTTAACCGCTGTGTCCTCCAGATGGACCTCAGCATTTATAGCGGTGCCTGTGCAGAGTGTGAAAAAATACCAACAAATTCCTTTTGGGGTTTCGAAGCAGTGAGTAAATATTTTATTTTTGCCTTAAATTATATTTCAGAGTATGCACTGTATGAATATATTAGCTGTTTAGTTCTCATTTCTCTTGAATGTAGTGAAAAATAAACGAGAAGGTTGGCTCCTGAAGTGGCGTGACCTACTGACTCCTGCTGACCCTGCAGTCATCACTAGTGCTAATGATGCGCAAAGGAAGGTGGGGCACATCACCCTACAAACACAGACCCTCGTCTCCTCCCCGGCCTGCAGACAAATCAAATTTTACTGCGTTGTCTGTGAGCAACTATCAGCCTCGTTACTGGCTCTCAGCCACGGTGAAGGGAAATTATACATATTCATATTTGTAAACTGTGGTTTACCAGCAAAAGCACTGATTTGTTGGTGTCTGGCCGAACTCACTGTGGGGTGAGTTAGAAATATTGATCAACTGTTATTATAGCTAATGTGTTTTTGTGTGTGTATTTGTTTGTGAGTAAAAAAAAACAGTGAAACCTTAAAGAAATGTTTCGTTCTTCCACCGTCCTTCGCCTGAACCTGATAGCAAGGCTG